GGCACGCGTGGTCCCACGCCATCTTGAACGCCGACGTGTCGTCTGCAACGCCGTCCCCGACAGCGCCGTAAGACATGACGTCGAAGACGACATCTGCAGACGACAGCTCGTACCCTCCACCCTGGGGCGCGGGTGCAGCCTGGGGTGGGTAGTAAGGAGGCTGGGAGATTTCACTGCCGCCGGCGGCGGCGGCAACTCTCAATAAGGAAATGAAGAAAACCAAGACAAGAATCCTCCTACAAATGGATTTCATTGTATATATATTTCTTTAATAATGAAATATATATGAAATGGAGGCCAAGGAATATGGTATTATATTATTTGTAATAAAAGGAGTTTATTGGGAGTTTATAAAGAAGAGAGGGAGAGAGAGGAGTGAGAGTGGAGGGTAGTGATTTGATAGTGGGGGGCAAAAACTGCTGCCTTTGGAGGGTCGGCCGCATGCAACTTATATATTATTGTTGCATAATTATTATGTGAGCCGACCCATTTGGGGGGATGGTTTTTGTGGCAAGGATATATACTCTCATTTTTTATGAGGGTGTATACGGAATTGATGGAATTGGAATTGAATTGGAATTGAAATTCCATGGAATTCAATTCCATAGAATTGAATTCATCAATTCCAATTCATTTTTTGCACTGTCAATTCCAAATTCGCATAATTTTTTTGCTACCAAACACCAAAATTGGGATTGAAGTCATCAATTCCAATTCCATAGTTTGAATTCCGTGTACCAAACGGGGCCTGAGTTTCTATCTATTTATTCATAAAGTTCATATTTACATTACTCTCTCCGTCCGGAAATGTTCTTCCCGTGTTGACTAAAAAGGAAAATGAGAAGAATATTTCCGGACGGAGGGAGTATATTCCAACTTTCAAAAAATGTACCGTTAGTACTTACACTTTTAATAAAACATGTATTTTATCCTTTGATTGCTTTAAAAAATGTTTATTTTTCTTAGCTTCACGAACATTTATAAAAGTGTATCATTAGTCTTTATACTTTTGAAAGTTCGAGAGAGAAAAAATATGTACTTTTTAAAAAGTTCAAAAGTAAATCACACACTATATGAAAGGTATAGATATTACTAGACCACACAAGGGTTAATGGCACAAAAAACTCCGTTTTCTAATTAGACGCTTCAAAAATGCAGACACATTTTTATTTTCGGCATAATCATTTACTAAAAGTATTGTATAAACTTCTTAGAGTACTTTATTATCTCCTCAAATACTCTTAGACTCTTACTTATTTCAACCCGCTCAAACTTAGCTTTTTCAATTACTTTCATACACTCTCTTATTCCACCATATCTCATCAAAATATGATCATATTTGGGATAAAATTAGAAAGTTAAACTATTTAAGAATTTACCTTAATTTGCTTTTAATTTTGGGGGGAAAGGAATATGATGTATATTACTATGAGTAATGAATAAATATGATGTGATAGGTAGATTATTCATATTTAGTTGGAAGATGACGAGTTTTGTGGGACGGATGAAGTATATTTTAACAATAACAATGTTTGATTTTTTTAGCCACACTAGATGAACTCCGTTAATCAGTTAACTAAAAATTACATGAGTATATATAATATTAATATAATGAATTAACTTATAAAAGTATTTTAATTAGAAGAGCAAAATAATTGTGAAATCATTTTTGTACCACTCAATATGCATTGTAATTTTAACTGATCACCCACGTTTTTATATTCCCATTAATATCACTTTCATTGGTACTTGGACTGCTAACTTATTGGTTTTGAGATTTTCTAATAATGTTTATCAATCTGTTTTAAAGAATGCCATTTTGGGTTTTATGTTGGGATGGGTAGGCGAAAGTTGAAGTGAGATTAGGACTCACCTTTTTTATGACAAAAGTGGGCTTTTATAAATAGTCTTGTGCATATGAGCAAGTAGTACTACAACTACAAGAGGCGTTTGACTTTGAATCTCATTTATGCACACATTGTGTACAAATGTACAATACTCCCTCGGTTCTCAGATTGACTTTTAGAGTTATGTTTTTTTTTAAATTTTCACTGCAAATTACATGAAAAATATAATCCTTCCGTCCATAAATAAAGTTCACGTTTCGCAGTACGATATTTAACTGAAGTTATTTTCAAATCATTTTATATGAAAAATAGTATGAAATTTAAAAATAAAAATTACATATTTAAAAACTACCCAGTACATGAAAAGATCTACAAAACTAGAAGTGACATAATTATATTATTTTATCAAATAAGACATGAAAGTAGGTCAATAAAGTGAATAAAATTTTATCATGTTGATGGTAAACAAGAACTTTATTGTTGGACAAAGGGAGCATTAAATTATGATATGAATTTAACATCAATAAATTTATTTTGAAACATATTTAAAAATATTCCATTTTTATTATATACTCCACGTATATTCCTATCTACAGTATAAATAAAAATATTAATGGTTAAATTATTGCATTGAAGATTGTGAAAAGTCAAATAAGAAGATTAAAAAAGGACGGAAGAAGTTAAAATTGCGGAAACGGTATTGGTGATGGATATCGGGACCTTGGAACAAGGCCAAAGGGGCCCAAATGTGGTTTCGTAACCCAACAAGAATAGATACCGAGTCCGAAACAAGAGGAGAGGCCGAAGCCCAAAGAATTGGAGTCCGGCCCTAAGAGGTGGATTAACACAGTGTAAGAGGGAAACGTGATTCCCCAAATCATGGGATTGAGGGCTGATTGATGACCGATTCCCCGCCACGATTGATGCACGATAGTTTATTTACCGATAATGTAGCCCAGAAAGTTGCATACTTTGTATATAATAGAATTAGATTATAAACAGGAGGTGAATCCTCCATTGTAACTCAAACTGAATCTAACTAATACAAACCTACAAGAATTCTATATTTCATCTATATTCTTGTCAGCATAGTATTCATGTCTTTGGAGCAATGGTCAGCTACAACGACGATGCTCGAGAAAACAGATCAAATACTCTTTTAACTCGATTCAAGATTTGCATTCAAATAAGACAGATTAGAACATTTCAAATACAAGCACAAATACAATATAATCGTGCTTGAACTTTGATTCGAATGTTAAACAAATACAAATAAACTAACATCCGATTAGGATGATATTCAAAAATTCGAACATACCTGTCCTCATCTTCGTGCAACTTAAAATCAAGCAAATATTGCTTGACCAAAGGAGCCTAATTAGAACAATGTGTGACAACATATATACAAGCGGTCAATTCAGATTGAATTCATTTGTGTCAAATGATGTAATATAAAATTAAAGTAATTAACATGCATTTAATGAAAACATTGATGATTTTTTTTTTGTTTGTTAAAAAAAAGTCAATGATTTTCCTTTTCTTTGTTAAGAGGACTTTTATTTTTACTCACTGCAATAAAGGTTTTCTTTTGTTCCACAGGATTAATACTTATGGAAAGTCAAAATGTAAATGATATTGCCCTTTGGCTGAAACAGGCAAGTGCTACTGACCAGTAACACACTTTAAGTTAGCTTTCTACTCAATCTGGAGGTGTGTGATTCTACCACTCAAAACCCCACCCTAAACTTCAACTTCAAGCATTTGTTTTTTTTTTAACAAAAAAACCAATTTCGTGATGTCCCACACCACGGAGGGAGAGTTAAATCGTACGATATGTCTCAATTAGTTAGTGTTCTTGTCTTATCATACGAGTGATTCGGTTTCAAAATTTTGCATGGAGCAAGAATCAAACCCCTACACTAGAGGGTGCAAGTAAGGTTGTTAAAACAACACTTTTGTTGATTTTTTGGTGGGCCAGGTGAATCGAGTGGAGTGCCGGATGAGATTGAGCAATTTTTTGTATAAAGCGGGTGTTTTCTTATGCCGGTACTTATTGACTTATTGCTGATAAGTACTCTCTTCGTCCCAAATTATATTATCTATTTACTATTCACATAGTCAAATTTATTTACTTTCATTCTCTATTTTCATTAGTCATTTAATAAAATAATATAGTCATGTCACCACTAGTTTTGTAGATCTTCTGATCTAGTTTTTAAATATCTCATTTTTATTTTTAAAATTTTAGATCATTTTTTTATATATAAAATGATTTAAAAATAATTACAGTCAAACATCGTAAACTAAAACAAGTGCTTTAAATTGGGACGAAAAATTAATTTTTAACTTATAAATTGCTTATAAGTTAAATATTTTTCATCTAGATAAAATGACTTAAGTCTTATATACTCCGTAAATCATTTTGAGATGTTCATAATATATGAGGGTTAGCTTGGTAAATAATCTGGTCAAACTAAAGAATTGAAAAAACCAACATATGATAAGTAGGTAAAGCCAACTTACGGAGTACTTTTTTCTAGCTTATAAGTCAAAGTACAAAGTAACATGTCATCAACTGATTTAAAAGCTAAAAACATCTTATTAGCAACTTTAACCAACTTGTAAGCCCAAAAAAATACTCACAAAATCCGAATCTACTATCTTACCAAAAATTTAAGCCAATTGATAGTATTTCACCTTTCTTTATATGGGAGTAATATTCGTTATAATTATCTAGTGTGAGAAGCTTGCCCAACACACAGACTCCAACCCCACTTTTCCATATAGCCACTTGTGGATCTGTGAGACACTATGATGTCAAATGTGAGATTCTCTTAATTTTTTCCGCTCTTTTTATTATCAATTACACGGAGTATTTCCTTGTATGCTTAATATGAGAACAACAAATGAGGTTTTCAGTTTCAACTTCGAAACCGACAAGGTTTGGGATTTCTCTTTATGCTTTTGAGAATGTTGTTGTTCTAAAGGGGATATCATTGATCAATTGGGGCATTCTATTGAGGGCTTTGGAGGAAAAGATAGAGGGGAACTTTCACTTAAAGATTGTCATGGGTGCAAAGTGACTTTGTTCACAAAAGTTCTTCTGAATGTGCACATGGCTAGGGTCAAAATGGTCCATATTGTGTATCTTAAAGAGCAAAACATTGTTTCTTACAATATTATAAAACGTTCCATTCAGATCGGTCTATATTTTTGCTCATGAAGTTTACATTGTTTCGGTACAGGGGGGCGACATTACATTGTACACAAGAAATTCAAGGCCAGTATTGTCTTAATAGAACATTTCCCTACATCTGCTTTTACAAAGGACAATGACGATAACAATAGACATGATAAATATGTGATAAAAATAAGGGGTACAACAGGGGTCGAGGAATACAACATTAACACAAACAATTGAATAGAGACAGAAGAAATACCGGGCTGTGGTTTTTACTTTTTATAGAGGCGTTCACAATCCTAGAAACGGGCACTGCTTTCTGGAGTGCACTGGAATCAATTTCGCTATGGTCTCCATAGGCACGCCCTTCAGCTCTAAAGAGTAATAACATTCAAATTTATTTTACGCGACTTTGTAAAGAAATAAAGTAAATGACTTTACGAAGGAAAGTAAAATTTGAAGAAAACTTGTGAGGTGTGTACCATGGGGCTTGAAGTTGAACAGCGGAGGAAGAAAACGTCCATTTGGAAGTCGAATATTGGGATCACGTAACTCGTCAAAGAATTGGTGGGTCAAAGCATCCAACTTCATGACAAATGTCATCGAGTTCAAACAAAGTTAGTTAAAATTCATGTCGTAAAATCATATTTCACTTATATTTGGTATGTTTGGTTTGGAATTACAATAGCCTCGATGAGAAATTAGTTTAGTTTCTTTTACTTATATGCGGCTCTTCTTTGAGGAATATTTTGTTCTAAAAGGCAACTTAACTGCGGGAAGAACTATAAATTATTTAAACTATGCAGCACGCGAAGAATAAAAAATACTCCGGAAGCTGTGCATGTACTTACAGCAGAACAGCGTAAATTGGGAGAGTATTGCAGCAGCCTAGAAACTAGGTCAACAGCTTCTGGCGGCATACGTTTAGGAAATATCTGGTAAGTGAAAAATACATTGCATGATGAACTTGTAGCAAATGAAAAGGAAAAAAAGACACAAGAATTTCATACAGATGTGGTATTATAGCATTATAATAGAAGGGAAATCAGATTCGGGAATTCCAAATACCTTGTGCCAAGGATGAGCTTTAATTTGGGGGAATTTGAACTCTGTGTAGTTAGGGTTCATGCATTTAATTTCTTCCCTGGTAGGAGTGCCCAACACCTGCAAAATATTTAGATTCAATATTTGGAGTCCACTTACTCAATCGAAACACGCTAGAATGGGTCATCTCTTTTATGGCTCTTTATTTGAAGATAAAAGAGTGAAGTGTCAAGGAGGAGTTCAATGATGATGTGGTGCATCATACTATTACACTAGAGAAAAAAGAAAATGAATTCCAAAGAAATGCTAAAGAGCGTGTCATGTAGTGGGTCAAATTCCATAACTATTTCCGTCTCATATTTTATAAACGTAATGGCAAAGCCGCAAAAAGTCTGGTTTCACAAGTAATGTAGAGGCTTTTAATTTTAGAAAGGTATAACTATTAGATAAAATCAAATACAATTATATTTTAAAATTTGTTTGATGAACTAAATTTTAACACAATCAGCTTGTTTGTGATGTGTTCAGTGTTTTATACAAAAATATTAAGGGAGTATAATGAAAACTAGCTTATACAAAAAACTAGCTTATACTGTTCAAAGCAGAGTCCTTTTTGGTATAAAATAAGTTAAGAAACGTGTCTCTTTTTATGGATGGACTACAAATTTTATAGTTTTACCCCAAACATTCTTATTTATTACGTAATGGATTTTTTATAATCAAGAATATTCTTAAAACATGCTTGATTATAAATAATGCATTATGTTTTAAAATTAAAAATAAGAAACTACTACGTACGAGTATATAGACATTGCTTTTTCTGATTCTGCTTTGGTGTCAAAAATAGCGCCATTGTTGGTGTACCAAAAGAACTACTCTTGTTTTGGTTTTTGTTGTTTGTAAAGTCGTTCACACACACCAGTAACAAATTTATTAACACACTTGATGAAGGTGCATATAAAACCATTAGCTAACCTAAATCCTTGAATATTAGGACTTCGTTTCATTTTAAGTTAGAGAGAGAGAGAGAAGACAAGTACAACACTTGGAAGGAGATGACAAAAGATTTAGAATGAAGAGAAGTGTGAAGTTTACCTTAATGATCTCAACAAGTTGATCAACTCCACTTTCACCCGGAAACAAAGGCTGCATATATAAGGTAAACAATACATATAAATTCAGACCTAAATAGGAAGCAACAATAATAAATCAGAAAAAAACAATGATTATACCTGGCTAATAAGTAGCTCTGCCAACACACATCCAGCAGACCATACATCAATGGCAGTAGTATACTCTGTTGCACCAAAAATGAGCTCAGGGGCTCTATAATACCTAGAGCAAATGTAAGAAATGTTGGGCTCTCCTTTAACCTGCAAATAATAAAAAAAGAAAAAGATTAAGTATCAAGATGAACTGCAAATTAGCAAAACCAATTTTTTTTTGCCTTCCCCTGAAAGTAATGTCTTTTGTTCAAGAAGACTGTAAATGTAGCATACCAGAACTTTTGCACTTCCAAAGTCGCACAATTTAACTTGATGAGTATGTGGGTTCACCTGTAAAATGCAAAAACAACTTCATCTGCTGATCATCAATTTGTCATTAACTTGCAGAGAAAAATATGAATTGAAAGGAAGAACTCATTCACTGGTTGAAGTACAAAACTTTACAATTCATTACTAAAGAAAGAATTTGAACTACCACTCTTGGCAAAGAGTGGCGAAGAGATAAGCTAATTTCTCAAGAACATTATATTTGAGCTGTTGTTTTAAAATGGCGGGTAAAGATGTGAATGTACCAAAAGATTTTGAGGCTTAATATCTCTGTGACACACTCCAATGCTGCGATGAATGTAAGACAATGCCCTGAAAATCTGTCAAATATAGAAGCATGTTTAACTCATGAGTAATTGCTTAGAGAATATCACAGAAAAAGGATAACTTCTCCATCTACAACCTCAATCGAAAACCCTATAGACTAAAAGGAAATAAAAAAGAAAAAATGTCATCTTTGTCAGAACTCATTCCATACAGAGCTCAACAACTAGATGCATATACAATTTAAGAGAATGTCAAAGGAAAGTATGATTGGTCAACACGTATTGAAAGCTATGTTCTAACCATACAAAATATTCAGTTCATGCCACAAGAAAAACGTCCTGATTTCCACAAGGATAACGTAAAACAGTAATCTCTTTGGATTTTAACATGAAGCACTTGAAAAAGGAAAAAATATATTAAACTATATGCATGGCCAATAAGTTCAATACCTGGTATGTATAAAGTTTCACAAATATTAATGGGATTCTTTGATTCAACTTGTTGTAGTGCTTGATAACGCGGTGAACTGTTTCTGGGACATACTCGAGAACTAGATTTAAATATAGTTCATCTTTATCAGTTGTAGAAAAGAAGCAGTGCTTTAAAGATACAACATTTGGATGGTCAAGGAGGCGCATAGTCTGTAATTCTCGATTCTTGTATCTTTTATCCTGAAGAACCTTTTTTATAGCAACAGTTTCACCAGTCTCTAGGCATTTTGCCTGGAATTAAAAAGTGGTATTCATGATCATTCAAGATTTCTCTGTTAAGGATTCAAATTCTCTGAACAATTCAAACAGAAAAAGTTTACGAGCATGCATTGATGGACAATTAACAACACTAAAACATACCTGGAACACTACTCCAAATGATCCATGCCCAACAATACGTTCAGCCATATAGCTTATAGTCTGAAAAAATATAGACAATGTAAAAAGTCTGAAATTTTGGAGGTCAATACAAAAAACCGTTGTCTTAAGACTAAGATGGGTAACCCACTATGATTCAATTATTAAATCATAAAAGCTTTATGTGTCTATTTTGGCTCCATCATCTCCGATGGAGCCAAAATTTCACCATTTTTTGGCTTTGGGGTGTGATGGAATAAATCAAAATGGATCTCTAAATTGTCTATGCTTCTTTAATTAATGAAGTAGCAGTTAATCAAGCAATGCAACTTTCGACGTTGAGCCGGGGGTCTCTTTGGAAACAGCCTCTCTACTTTCGAGTAGGGGTAAGGTCTGCGTACACACACCCTCCCCAGACCCTACTCTTGTGGGATTTAACTGGGTTGTTGTTGTTGTTTTAGGCTATCAGCAGAAGTATGAAGTCAGACTATTAGTAATCTCATCAAGAAAGATACAAGAAAATTCAGGAAATCCCAAAAGAAAACATGAGACCCCAAAAGTACTTTAACTAGACAAAAATCTTAAATGTGGCAGGAAGATGCAAGATTAAGATTGTGCAACACAAAATAAATACCTGAGTATATAAATAAATAAAGGTTTTTCTCAAGCGTGGACATGACACACATGAATGGTATCCACTAATGAGTATGTAATACTTAAAAGTTTCTTAAATTCTCTTCAATATTGATGATAAAATGTATCCTCCCTTCGTAAAAAAATGAACTTTACACTTTCCTTTTTGCGTCCATCCCAAAATAAAACTTTACACTTCTCAAATATCCTTTTGATGAAATGAGCTCATAACATTTTTCTCTCTTCTAAACAAATTTCAAGCACTCACTTTTCACTTCTCAACACTTCCTTTAAACTCTACGAAGTCAAAGTGTCAAGCTCACTTTGGGAAGGAGGAAGTAACTTTTTGTGATAATTGTATATATTTCCTGAAGACCCTAACCACATTTATTTTTTCTTGAAACTATTCATATCCTTTCTCAGAAACATGCTTCTCGGAACTTGAAAATGAAGCACACAATTGCTCTTCATCATGTGCGGGCAATACTACAAAACCCCATAAATAAAAAGGTTCAAGTGCTGGAAACTACATAAAGGTGATGAAGACAATAAGTCCAACCATGTGTTAAATCAAGCAAGGTCTAGACAGGGATGGTATACACAGAGTTACCACTGTTTACATTTCAAAAATGTAGTCCCCTAAAATTGAACCAAGATGTACTACTCATTAGGTGAACATTTGGTCAGTACACCAAGTCCAACCTCCCCCAAGAACATAGGTGACACTGCACAATTACCTGCTTTGACTGTCCATTTCTACCACCAATAGTTGTCACTATTATATGCCCTGTTTCAGTACCATGACCATCAACCACTGTTGCTTCCATATCCTATAAAATAAATAAAAATCGAAAGTGCATCAAGAAACCACCCATGAAAATGAGGATAGAAAAGGGGAAATGCATACCTTGTCATCCCTGATTTTCATGTCATTCATCTCCTCAGGCAACCTATCAACACCACTTGGTCCTCTTGCAGCAGAAGTAGGTGCTGTACCTACTGAAGCCATTTCGTCGAGACTTAGTAGTGCTATATAAGTATATCACTTCAACAAGTCATTCACCTGCAGGTATTAAGAGCAAAATAAATTATTACTCCGTATATAATAGAAACATATTTTCAAGCACTCACTCTTCAACCCTGTGAAAACATGGCACTAAATGGCATATGGACATCTGGGAAATGAAACCAAAATGTAAAACCATAGTTTTCAGAACCGGACCGGTGACCGAACCGGTCAAGGTACTGGTTCACTGGTTTACTGGTCGAACCAGTGGTTCAACTGGTCGAACCGGTGGTTTAAACATATTTAAAAACTATATAAATATAAATAAATAAATATATATATGTGTGTGTGTATGTATATGTATATGTAGACACACACACATTCTCATTTATAAATATCTAAAGAAAGTAATTTATAACATTTAAGTAATATTATATTAATATACTTGAATTATTTTATAAAATTAAAAAATAAAATTTACATATTAAAAAAATATAAAAGAATTTTAAATGAAGAGTTGATTTTATTTTTTTCAAATAATTTGTTTAATATAAAAAAAACGAAATCTTTGCATGATTTGCATTTTGTAATAGTATCAATAATATTATATTTATAAAATTGAAAAGGAATTTATATACAATCTTTTTTGTAATTATGAAATATTATAAAAGATTATGTAAACTTGTAACAAAAAGCACCATTGCTTGGATGGTTAGGAGCTCAACCAAATGTCTAAGAGGTCTTGGGTTCAAACCCCCATGGAGGAATGTTTTGGAAAAAATCAGCAAAAAAAAAAAAAAAAAAAATTGGGCGGACGGTCCAACCGGCCGGTTCTTACCGGTTCAAACCGGTTCAGGCCGGTTCGAAGCAGGTTACGGTCTAATGGGCTGGACCGGACCGGTTGGACCACCGGTTCGCCGGTTCACGGTCTGAACCGGCCGGTCCGGTCCGGTTTTTAAAACTATGTGTAAAACTGTTCCCAAAAAGAGACACTTTACTCTTGACTGCATCACTTCAAGCAATTATGGGTGTGGGTAGGTGGGTGTGTTTATGTGTGTGCGAGTGTCTGACCCATAACTTTGTTCTTGTTCTGGCTTGGCGCACTTTTAATAAAGTAAAAACTGTGTGGTTGAAACTTATTTCAAAGAGAGAGAAACAATGTTAACCATAGAAAAAGGAAAGTGGAACAAAGCTTTGGGATAGTCTAACTAGAAAAGAAGGAACAAGATTATGGGACGGAGGAAGCATATATTTGAAGCGGGATACCCTTACATCACTAATTCACTATCACTTACACCCCTATCTCACACTGCTGATNCCCCCCCCCCCCCCCAAGGACTGATAGCTACTATCACAGATTATTTCCATAAACTTCCACTAAAATCTGAAGCGGCACCACAAGGGGGTTCTGACTAAAATGTATGTATAGGGTACGGTTCCAATCAAAACAGGCCATCACATAAAACTGTGAACGCTTTTTACTGATGCACATTCAGTCCATTCTTATGCATTAATGCACATTTGCTTCATTTATGAACAAAAATACCACTGCAAGTTTTAAAGCTTCTTTAAAATATTCACTTCATCAGAACAATTTCCCGCTAACCCCATTCTTTATCCAATCCTTCTTCTCTTTGATCTGATTAAGGAAAGCATTGCAAATTCGCATTTATCATCCCTTCATCCCTTGGCCGTTTGGGACCAAACCTCCGCCACTCAGACGCCATCGCTGTCAACAACAGTCCAGCACTAGCCCATCTAACCTCCGTTAGTTCTCTTGATGTCAAGCGTCAACTACACAGAACTTCAACCATTTTTTTACCTATGCATCACTGCTTGTTAGTGTCCGATAAATTTGTCTTTTTTTTACCTATGCATCACTTCTCCTTACCATGATTTATATTAAAAGGCTATGCTAAGTTGACTAAGCATATTCCGTACATCTCTAAAATTGGAATGTTAAGCTCAGTAGGTAATCAATACTACTCCGCGTTCATTTTTTAATTTGGAAAGCAATTATAACGTACTCCGTATTAACTTTGGATTTGGAAAGCTATTACTCAGTATCCAATGAATTAACAAGTTCGACAATTTTACCAAAAAAAAGATTTTTTAAATTAAATCTGAATTCAAGTATGTTTGTTCAACAATAATTAGATACACCCCCCTTTCCTAATAAGCCAAACAAGAATTATTACAATATCTCACCTCCCCCAACTAAATGAAGCCTAACCCCTTTCCTCCCAACCTCTTGATTCACATCCCCTCCCCACCTTAAGTTTTTCTTTAAGGCACAAACAAAGAAACATCAAAACAAAATTAATCACAATGGTCGAAATCAACATCACCCGTTCTAGCATAAAATTCAGATATTCGGTTCATGCAAGCAAGCAGCAATACGAGGATTTACAGATCCATAATCAAATTTGAGGAAAACGTACTTCTGGAAAACAGAAGACATACATGAATGAGCAATTCTTCATCCAGACAAAAAAAAACGAAGGAAATGGAGAAAAATCTAAAGATCAAATACATACCACCGTTACCAATTAAACCAGAGTCTTCTGAGAGATCGAGAAGAAACCGATCATCGGCAGACGGCCGTGATTGTTCGTGGTGGAAATGGCACCATAGGCGTTAGAGAGACGACAGAATCTGAATACGGAGTTATCTGATAATGGTAGAGAGAGAGAGAAAAGATGGGCCTATGGAATGGAATATGGATGACTAAATTTTTTTATACTGTTTATCGTTCTCTAATTGCAAACTAGTATCACACCCAGTGCGTTGCACGGTTCGTACTAACGTTATAGATTTATATTGGTATTATTAAAAAAGTAAATAAGTACACCATATAATGAAATATAATGTTTTCAATTGTGTAATACATAAATTATCTCCACCACATCTTCCTATTCCGAAAAAAAGGGGAAACATGTACCCATCTTTTTCCCGCCCAAGTGACTTCTTATATACGGTTTAAGATAATAAAATGGCAAGTGTTTTAAAAAAGGTATTAAAAAGAATGAATGATTGAATTTTGATATTATTATTTTTATTAAAAATCAAAGGAGGTTAGATTTATTTTTCTTGAAACGCTGATTTCATAACCTTTTAAAGCATAGAAATAAAAAGAGGAAAGATTTAAAAAAGGAGGAATGCTTGAATTTTATTAATAACTTTAATGCGTAGGCAATTAAGTGGTGCAAATAAAATAGATAAGATTAAAATTTTAAAACATTCATTATTAAGCACAAAAATACTCACGGTTTTAGAATTTTTGCAATATTTTTTTATTTTCTGCCACACTAAAAAAATTAGTTACGCGTATAATAAAGAAAAAAAGTTTCAAGAGGTTAATTTTTCTTAACATCGCCCAATACTCAACATTAGACCTGACAAAAAATGATCCGACCTGTTTTTGACCCGAGATGCGACCCGAAAATACTGGTTTTTGAACAAAGGTTTTACTGACCGAACCCGAAGTTAACTGAACCCGAAATGACCCGCTAAAATGGGTTAAACCCGACTGAACCCGAACCCGACCAGACCGACCCGCTAATCCAAGATTTTTTTAGAATCATACATTTTAATATGAAATATAGTGTTATAAAAATAAGATTATAATTATATTTCTTTGCTTACTACTCATTTTTTGTGTATAGATTTATACCATCATAACAAATTTTAATAATGTCGCATAATTATCTTACATTTTTTAAAAATTTCTACATATTTAATCTTTTTTATTCGTAATATTGACACTAAGTCATAGAAATTATTTAAAATTTCGAAAAAAATTAATGAAACTCATAACCCGTTAGATCAACCTGAACCCGATGTGGGTCATGAACATGTAGTTATCAATCCGAATCAAAACTTATCCGAACCTGAAGTAACCCAAACTCAAGGTGACCAAATCTGAATCCAACCTGACCGACCGGTTTGCCAGGTCTACTCGACATATCAGAGAAATAAAAAATGATTCGAGAAGGGGTCTTTTCGTTTAACATGCTAATAACTTCCAAAATTCTATGATTTCTTTTTTTGGTAATTCTTTCTTTTCTTAATATGTTAAATATGTTTTTTCATGCATAAAAAAGCCCCTTCAATTTTCGGGCATTAAGTATGTACGGATTTTATAAAGTTAATTTCTTTTTTTTAAATAGTTAAAACTGTATCATTTACATACACAATACTTTCCTTTTATAAAACCATATTATTTATATACACCGCATTAAATAACACATGAATCTTATAAGGTATTTTCCTTTTATAGAATGAAATAAAACTATATTTGCATGTTATTTAATTATAATTACCGTAGATTAAAAATGTAGATCAAAATCGATGGTCCATAAACGATAGTGTTTGGGCGGGAAAAAGCATGGGGCACAATTCCCCTGCTTTTAAGAATAGGATGGCAAATTATATTAAGGCTTAGTTTGGTGCACGGAAATTATTTAAGGTCCAATTCTAATTCTGCTATTTGGTAACATAATAATATTTAGATTTGGAATTAGTAGTGTTAAAAATAAATTAGAATTCGAGAACTCAATTCCATAGAATTTTAATTCTCAATTCAATTATAATTTCATCAATTATGTACACCAAGTAGACTCTAGATTTATAATTTCTTTAATTTAATAGCAATAATCTTCGTCTCAAAAAAATCTCAAAATTATAATTTTAGAGTGTGCTTGGTTTGAGGGAAAAATATTTTACATCAAAACTTTAATTATATTTTCTTGTGTTTCATGACATTCATAGAATAAATATATAAATATATTTCTCTCAATAAAAGAAAAATAATTTCTATTAGAATTCAAATGTTTCATTCCATCTCCACCCCATTCGCCACGCACACCCACCCCCTACCTCGGCCTCACATACACTACCAAGTACCACCTCACCTGCCACTCCCATTCCTAACCCTTCTACTCTCCTTGGGTCCACACCCACCCCGCCCAATGCACCTACCTCGCGTTATTCTTTTTGTTTCCAATTAATTAACTCAACATTATTATTTTTATCGATTCAAACATTTTTGTATTTCCTCCGTCCTCATAAAAACTTCCATCTGACATCGTACAAGTTTTATGTAATGTTAAAAGAAAAATGGGTACAAATTATGCAAGAAAATTAATAAAAAATAATTTCCCCCACACCCTCTTTGTGGTACAAGAAAAATGGGTACAAGTTTTATGTAATGTTAAAAGAACATTTTTGTATTTCCCCCGCACCCTCTTTGTCCACATAATTATGCAAGAAAATTAATAAAAAATAAATAAATAAAAATTAAATAAAAACAGGTGGTGGAGAAGGGGGTGGTGTACAAATGGGTACACTTTTGGTGTACCCCTAGCATTGCTCAATGTTAAAATTGTTTTGACTTTCCAGCTTTAAATTTTATATTTTAGATTTTAATTTATAATTTTAAGTTTTAAATATTAAATTTCAAATTTCAAATTTCAAATTTCAAATTTCAAATTTCAAATTTCAAATTTCAAATTTCAAATTTCAAATTTCAAATTTCAAATTTCAAATTTCAAATTTTAAATTTTAAATTTTAAATTTTAAATTTTAAATTTTAAATTTTAAATTTTAAATTTCAAATTTCAAATTTAAAATTTTAAATTTCAAATTTCAAATTTCAAATTTTAAATTTTAAATTTTAAATTTTAAATTTTAAATTTTAAATTTTAAATTTTAAATTTTAAATTTTAAATTTTAAATTTTAAATTTTCAGTTTTAGTTTTAAATTTTTAAATTTAAAATGTGCAATTAATAAGTTTGAAATTTAAATCTTGAAATATTAATATAAGAAAGTAATTTTCAAGAAAAAATTTCCCTTCCTACCAAAAAACGAAAGATATGACTAGAAAATAATCTTCCTTCAAAATCATTTTTCATTAAAAAATCTTCTAAGAAAATATTTTTCCCATGACCAAACACCAAAACTTTATAAGTTGTGACCATTGTTAACTTTAATAGTGTGTTGAGTAATAATTGAACTTTAATATCACTATATATAATCTATACAAAGCTTGAATGAAAAATTGAATAGTGTTCCTGCCTAAAATTTGGGTATCTATTTGAAAATAGTAATAGGTTTGGTTGGTGGGGTTGGGCTGGCCAAATTATTAGGCCAGTTCATTGGATTTTATGGGTAAGTGTGTATGCAATGCATATGGGTAAATGTGTAAGGCATGGAGCCACACGCCATAATGTAAGTAGTCCACTTTATCTCAAATCAATATTTATTAAGCAGATTTTACAAATCTTTTCTTATTCAGTTTTACAAGTCTGTATCTCAAATGTCATTAACGGCCATATCGGAGAACCAATTTCTATACAATAAATATAGCAACAAGATTAATACTTCGTATCTTCCACAACATATTCCCATCTCCAAAAATCTGCATTGTAACGATCTTGTCACAAGAAAAAAATATGGCATGTGGGACTCGATCGCTGTACTCCATCCTGAAGTTATGTGCATTTCGTGTCTATTTTGTTCCGGCATGGGCAAAGGAAGGTAATTCCATGGAAGTCGTTCCACTATATAATGAACATGTATGCTTTATGCTTTGGGGCATTATTCTTTGCAATCTATGTTTGTTTATTGTTGATGACTTAGTGTAAATAACACTCAAATCTTCTTCATTCTTTACAAAGGGTAAGAATACATGCTCATCTTTAAAAAAATAGACATGGCCGTTTCAAAGACCAAATCGAAGAATATGGTGCTTTCGTTATTTCAAATGTCTTTGTTCATGATAATTACATCTCATGCAAGACAACAACATATTCCCATTTGTTGGGTTTTTACACCAAACCCAAAGTGAAAAAGTCAATGGAGATGACTTTCTAAAAATATTATTCGCTTTTAATTTTTTTTCGAGCATCCAATCTCAGTCATGCTTGAGCGATCAAGTTATAATCCATATGAATAGTGTCTCAATGATAATCCAAATAGTCGAATAAAATTGCCTTTTATTTATATAATTAAGGTAAATATAACATTGAAGCCCTCTCAATGCACATGTTACAGGGAAAATAGTTGGGCATTCTAAAATTTAAACTAATATATTTCATAGGTCAAGTTTATATTCAATTATTTCAGCTCTAAATAATCTAATTTAGGATTATAAATGTCATGATCGACCGCAAAGGGTAATACTTGATGCTATAGCAACTATAATTCTATAAAGTATAAGAAACTTACTTTCTTAATTTTTTTTTGTTTTTAAACTTCAACCACAAAAAAACTTAATCGTTGAATAACATAAACCATTTTATATGGATGATATACTAAAGTTGCATTTACTTAAACAAAAGTGTTGTTATAATAATAAATATTTAGACGGCCAAATAGCACCAATATCCCCGTGATTTAGAAGATATGCACCAATATCCCCCACATTTTCAAAACTTATTTCTAAAATTCTCGTGGTTTCAAAACGTTGTACACATACCCCCTTTGATTATTTTCCGGCTATTTTCCAGCGAAGAAGGGTGCATTGGTGCTTTTTTCAAAACCATAGGGGCAATGATGTTCATTTTTTTTTTATTGTTTTTTTTTCCTTTTTTGTTTCTTTTATTAATCAAAGTTTTTAAAATTTCTTTTTAATTTTTTTATAATGTTCTTAAAATTTAAATTTATTTTTGTTCGAAAAAAATTAACATTTACTACATCTGTACATCTTAAATTAACAATTTTAATTTTTTAGTTTTCTAAAATAGAAAATTAAAAACTTATTTTGAGAACTTCAAAAAATGAGGAATAAAATAAGAAATAAAATAAAACAAAATATAAAAACGAATATCCTTGTTGAACATTATAATTCTAAGAACTTTTTTAGACGTTCTGAAAATTTCTTTTTGTATAAGACTCTTTTTTTAGATGTTTCAATTTTTTCATTTCGTTTTTCTAGATTTTTATTTTTATTTTTTTGTTTTTAATTTTCTTTTTGAAATGTTTAATTTGAGAAAGATGGAGTATATGTTAACTTTTTTTTATTTTTATTTCAAACACAAAGCATTTTGAATTTTTATAAACATTATAAAAAATTTAAAAATAAATTTAAAAAACTTTTCTAGGAAATGGAAACAAAGAGATAAAATAGTTAAAAAGGGGGAAAAACAAAGCAATAAACGAAAATAAGAAATGAGCGTGTGTGCCCCATATGGTTTAGAAAATGAGCATGTGACCAGAAAACTAAAGGAGGGGGGTGCGTGAAATGTTTTGAAACCACGAAAACTTTAAAAATAATTTTTGAAAACAAAAGGGGTATTGATCTGAATTTTCCCAAAGCACGTGAGGCACTGGAGCTATTTGAACATATTTAGACAATATAAAAAATTGAATATATACTAAACAAATCATTTTTATAAAATGTATACTGCCCATAAGTTTATTGGGTAGTAGTATGGTATGCTTAGCGTCATTCGTTTAAATTTTAAAAGAGGTAAAAACTTAACCCATCATGCCATATTATCATGAATTCATGACATGTGAAGGTAAAAAGTATGAAAGTAAAATCATCAAGTAGTATTTTAAAACGGAAGTTGGTAGTAGGTCTAGACTCTTTTCCTACAACCTCCCCTTCCACTTCTTTAGAATCCTTTCTGATCTCTACTTGACAAAGGAGACATTTTTCAAAGTTTTTTCCTTGTGTTTGACAGAGGTAAAGTGGACAAAGTGAAGTTTTAAGTCTCGTCTTTCCTGTAAAATATGTACTTGGAAGCGTTTAGCTAAGTAATGCCAAGGGTCGAAAGACTACGTCAGGTGGTGCTGAAGGATATATTAAGTTTGGTTTGGTTTGTTTAAATACTGATGCACTCAAAGAAAACCAATGGGCAAGTTGAAATTAAACGTGTAAAAACACGGGCACCTGCAGATGACTTTAAGGTAAAACTTCATTTTTACAAACCATCCATAACATTGGTCTGGTTACTACATATGTTAAGGGTTAATAAACCTTCTTGCTCTGATGAATCAACACCTACACAGGTGTATGTATTTACCCTTTATAATATATGTGTTCAGATAATCTACTTACTATCATAATGTACCTTGTTTCTTTCTTCTTCTTCTTTTTCCCTACTTTTTTGAACTTTACAGAGCAGCTTCCGTCATTCTTTTTGCTATATAAGTATAGCCTGAGTGAGTTCCCTATCACCCTCGTCTCGAATTGCTTGGCCGTTCATCTGTAGCTTCAACAAAGATCAAGGAAAAATGTTTAACGCAATTCCAGTGAGCTTGCAAGTGCTGCTTTTATTCTAAAACGGATGGATAGAGTACACGCAAATATACAAATATGTAAAAGCATTTTATAGCATCCATTTCCAACTGAGCTAAGTGAGTCATTTCGGCAATACTTTAGCTTCGAGTAAATAATGGACTAAATCAAAATGGCACGTCAAATATTCATTGATCCATTCTACGAAATTTTGGCAAGTAAATGTTGCAATGCATCAAGTGGTCCAATGGAAACAAGCTTTGTGCACATCTTGAGGACTAAGGCTGTTGTTAGCAGTTTGTCAACTCTCTAGGTAATTGTTCTGAAAAGCTCGAAAAATAAATGCTCCAAAAAGCTTAAAAACAAGTTTTTGGAAGGAAAAAATCTCTCCCAAAAAAACTTTTTACTGAACACATCTAATAGCAATTTGACCAAAGTGAAACCACCCTTCTAGCTCAAAAGAGTATTTTTCACAAATTGATCCATCTAATAGCAATTTGACCAAAGTGAAACCACCCTTCTAGCTCAAAAGAGTATTTTTCACAAATTGATCCCCAAAGTGCTCCTTGCCATAAAAAACCTAAAAGGGTAAGTTGAATGCAACAACAAACCAGTATAATCCCTACACTGTTGGCCCCTTGATGCATTGTGTTAAAAACGGATTAGTGAATGTTATAGAAAAACATGTGTGTCCTTCCCTGCTCGTGGATGGAAAGACGGTAGAGTGCTCTCCATGACTAGCTTCTCATAATTAGCATTTTGACTACAACCATTGATAATTTTATTAATGGATATAAAACCTCTATCTATACTACTCCTAAGAGTCTTGGTTAGCAAGTTAATGGAGTTCCAATCTAATATGGATAAAAATATTCCCATTAGGATTATTAACTAAAATAAAGTCCAAGTACTAATAGGAAATTATTAATATCAATAGCACTAATAGTCTAGTACAAGAAAGGACCAAATTCTAATAATAATAGAAAACTAGTTCTTCCATTACTAAATAATACGTAGTAATAGTAATAATATTTGTATCATTACACCCCTTCTAAACATCAAGCTTGAAGAGAGATACGTTGCACCAGCACTTAACAGAGCACAATTGAAAACCCATTTGAAAGCACCAACCGTTGGTAGTACTCCAAGATATCTGACACTCTTAGCGGCTAGCCCGATGGATGAATTTCCCATAGTGAGATGTGGCTCGCTAGTTATCAAACATACAATTACCACACCCTCATTCGGCAACTTGACATGTGTAGAATTTGTTAGATTTAATCGGGTTTGTTCACATATAACCGAATGGGTATTGGGTTAATGTTCGAGTCAGTTAGTATGGAGTTGGTTAGTGGGTCTTTCATATTTAATTAATTTAAAAAAACAGTTGGGTAGTTTCTAAAAACAGTTATGGATAGTTTCTAATGTTAATAGGTGTGTTAGATGGTAATAGTTGTGTTGGTTAGTAAAAGTCGTGTTGGTTTGTTGTCTATTTATATTTAGAGAACACAAAGAATCCAGTACAAGTACACAACAACAAAATATTCTACTTTACTTTGATCTGGTCGTGTGTAACAGAATTAACCTTGAATTCTTGGATGACCGTAGGATTTAGTGGTTTAGTTGCAACTTGGGTAATAGCCTCTCGATGTGCATGTGATGACATGATGACAGCAATAGAGTAGGCAGAGATTGGTGGTGGAGGCAACTCAGTTGAGCGCACACACAAATCTGACAATAGAGTTGTCAATTCTACATTCGACAACAGATCTACTCACCTTGAAAACACTTTATTGAAGGGTGGAGATGGCAATTGCAGATGAGGTAGGTTGTAATTGATATTCATGTTGCAACATCTTTCATGAATATTCTCTCCATAAAATTCCTCTTTGGCAAGTATTGCAACATCAACAACAACTATAACAACGACCCAGTTGAAACATTTTTATGTTATTTTAAGTGTTTTATATTATTTCTTAAAGTTTTACTTATATTACTCCCTCCGTCCCACTTGAATCTTTACATACACTATTTACAGGGTCAAACTTTATACACTTTGTTTTTTTATTTTTATTACTATTTTGATAAAATAAAATATTCATGTCACATCTAGTTTTGTAGATATTTTGATGTAGCTTTTAAATATATAGTTTTTATTTTTAAATTTTACATCTATAATTAAATAAATTGAATTGAAAATAAAGTTGGTCAAGCATCGTAACGCAAACCGGAAAGATTCAAATGGGATGGAGAGAGTATTGCGTGTTAACCAAAAACACTTTGTGGCTTACGCCTGATATACTAACAAATAAACATCTCAAAACCTGCCCTACACCATTTTGAACATTGTGAATGTACCACTTCTATTTATACTCTCCTTATAGCCTTGGTGAGCAAGTTAATAGAGCACTAATCTAATACAGAGTACAATATTGTGATTAAGAATATGAACTATAATAGAGTCCTAATACTAATAGGAAACTGTTACTATTAATACTATATTACTACTAATATAAGGACTAATTAGTAGTAATAATAATAGGAAGCTAATTCTTATATTACTACATAATAATAATAATAATAGTAATAATAATAATAATATAATAATAACAACAACAACAATAATAATAGTACTAATAATAATAATCCTATCACATTTTTGCAATTACTAGCCAAACCTTCATAGAAAATACGAAGCAAGTGAAGGGTAATGCGTCATTTTGATTTAGTTCATTCTTTGGGTGAAGCTAAAATTGTCAATAATGACTCCTCCTTTAGCTCCATTAGTAATGGATGGAAAGATGGTAGATTGCATGCACATACCAATATTAAAACTCGGTTTGATGCCTTCATTAGAGGTATGCAGATATGATGCAAAATATGAAGACATGTTGACTGATTGGCAGGCAGTTGGATTCACTTTTAATTATTTAAAACGAGTATATACATTATACATACACGCTTTTGAAATGGTGGAAAATGGGAAAGTCGGCATTGGATAAGCTTAGGTTTAGGGAAGCATAAGTTGGTAGATATAAGATAAACACAATTATTTTAGCACTCTTAACTCACTCGATAACAAATGTTCATTTTAAAAAAAAATCTATATATCTTCTTATACCTTCCAATTTATGCTTCTCAAGATATACACAATTAAAAAACTTCAAATAGAGTAATAATCAATACCTTGTTCATCATCCTCTCCATTTTGACTTGTAAAGAATGGTGTTAGGTAGTTCCTATCTAATGCTGAAAATGATGATGCGCTGCAGCGATGAAGGAAAAGCATGCATTAAACCAACATATTACACTCGTTACAGTTCATCTCCCCACCCCCACCCATACCACACAAGAATAGCAGAAATTTTAAATTCCATATCCAAATATTTAGCTACCTCTTTTGAAAGTCTTTTAGCTTCTTGAACCTGCTTCCGGATGATGATTCCTCATCATAAGAAGTTACTGTGTAGCCATTACTTCCCTCTAATCTCTAAACCGAGAAAAAGAACAATTAAAATAAACAAAAATCTAACTGTTATTAGTTTTATTGTAAAAACATACTACTAGGAAAATAGGCAAGCTGACATTCCTAGGAAGACGGAAAACAACTCCGATTTGACAATAGAAGAAAAATGAGTTTGTTGCTTCACAAAGTTTACAATACAGGAAAGGTTTCAAAAAAATAGAGTTCCAATCAAATTGGAGAAAAGACACAAATACATATATTGACAAACAACAACCCAGATGGACCCCACGAGAGTAGGCTCTGGGGAGGGTTTGTGTACGCAGACCTTGCCTCTACTCGAAAGTAAAGGGTAAATCTTAACTGGGTATTATGGAAAATTAATAGGTAACAATATATAAACCTCCGTATTAACATACCAGTAACACACATACATATGAAAATATAATATATAATGACAAGCATACTTCACTCAAGGAGCCATCGTAAGCATCACCAACAACATCTAAAGCTTCCAACATGGTACCAGTTGAACCACCGATTATCAAAACCTACGAATTGAGTGCATTGTTAAAGAATTAGACAATGGTCAAATTAAAGGGACTAGAACTATATTTTACAAGAAGATATTTTAGATCAACATAATGTTAAAAATGCATGCGTATACAGTATGGAGTCTGTGAGTCTGTGGACTATGGAGTATACACACATATGATCCGAGTGTAGACAAAAAAGTCATGAATATATAAAAATACATATACATATATATATATATATATTAATATATATATATATATATATATATATATATGTAAGTGTATATAAATATGTATGTGTGTGTGTGAATGGAATGGTTATTACTTCAAACTGTATTTTACTGTAATTTCTATAACAGATAAATTGTAAATCTAATTTTCTACTTTCTAAACACAAAGTATTAATAGTTGGTAGGAAAGTTTTAACCTTTTAAGTACACAGTTACATTCATCGTGGTCGTATTCTTTGGATGTGCATGTTGATTTTACAACATCAATCCTACAATTGGACATGACCATAGCAAATATCTCTTGATTCTCAGAATATAATGGTCATATGTGCATGATGTAATTTGAAAGCAACACCTAATAGACAGAATCTCCAGACATGTGTAAATGGAATCATAACATAGAGAAAGGTGATGGAATACCTTGACCCGGAAAAGTAGTGCTAACTAGAAAATTAAGACATTCAACTTACTTAAATAAATAGGTACATCAACCACGGAGTATAGAAGTTACCGTTAAAACGACAATTGCTGTGGTTGCTGTGAAAATTGTCTGACCATGACCTTCAGGGAGATCGTGAACTGACTGCAAAGCAAGTGCAAAAGCCATAGCCCCTCGAAGTCCTATACATGCAAAGCATTCGATCAGTGTAAGCAGTAACTGAAGAGCACAAAGGGAACCATCCAGAGCCAATACCCTACTTACCACTGTACCAGAGTGCTTTCTGATGTTTAGGTGGTATTTTTCTATGAGCAGGTCTTACCATATTTACCAGATATGCACAGCCAAATACATTTGCAGCCCTTCACATGAAGATAGGAATTAATAAGAAATTCACAATTTAATGCATCCAGTTCTGTTTTATACACTGTCATTGCTCATCACTATTTGGGTAAGTCAAAATATACATAATAGTAATCCAAAAAGTGAAGAGTTTTGCAAAATGCAGTATACCTTGCAATTCCAATAAAAAGCTGGGAATTAAAAAGTTAAGGAAATAAAACAGACAACAGAATACCAAAAAGCTCATTAAAAAACAAACACAGTGAGACACTAAGGATACAATTGAGAAGAAAATAAATCCAACATGTGACCAACTATGTTGTTCCATAGCTATATCAAACCCCATATATATAAATCTGCAAAAAGAACAAAGCAAATCATCTAAGCCTGTCATATAATGAAAAAAATAACCAATATCGTGTAAAACTTTTCCTTACACGAATGTCTCCGCTAATGAAGATATCAGATGAAAAAACGAAGATACAAATCTCTGAGAACTGTCAGACAAATTTGAGTACGTATAGCGTTTCATTACCTAACACAACAATAATTAATGCCTGGGTCAATTTAATTCTGAACTTTCTCCAATTCAATATAATTGGATAATGGAAACAAATGTTCCAATTTATGACTTACAATTCCAGTGAACAATATAGACACAATGCCAGAAAGACCAAGACCTTCTGCCAGCATGTAACTAAATGAAAGTATGCACTATTAGGAACATGTGGTACAAATCAAAGAAGCATTCCATAGAACCATTGAAAAATTTTAGAAATAACTCACGAAAAATATGGGAAAAGGACAAACAGACAACACTCCAAGTTCTGCAGGCTACATGAAGAGTGAGAGATAACCATCACAACTTCCAAATAAATCCAAATTTCAATGTCACAGGAACAATATGAGAAACGTGCTTACTTATCAATATCCAATCCAGCATACTTGAAAAGGTATGTAGAGTTAAGGCAACACAGTGCGGTTAAAAGCTAAACACTTGACACAACTTTACAAATTCTTAGCATCATATTAAAATGGATTGTCAAGAGGAGAAATAGGTACATGTAATATATTACTTCGTATCATGTGAGCATGTCATGATCCAAATTGATTGTTTCAATTTGTTTGGGCCTCTTTAATTATAGTCTTGGTCTAACCTCTACCGTGCTTCATTTCATTAGCAAAGATGAAGAATGAAAATTTAAAAGAAATCAACTGAAATAAATTGAGAGCATTTTCATTGGTAACATTTTTATTCTCATAGTGGTACTTGTTCTGACTAACATGTGCTGTTTCCTAGAGGAATAAACTAAAAGCATCAATAAATATAGTTTTATATTTATATATGAAGCAATGAGTAAAGTGGAGAATATGAGACTACATATTGTGAAATGATGGGGCAGAAGCGGAACATCAAGCTAACTCTGGATGATTAGTTGAGCTTATCAAGAATTCAGAGCAATGTGTTGGAGGGATATGTAGATTAAGAAGGCATCAGCGGACTTCAACAAATGTGTGGATTGTTAGGTGGGGACAAGTTGAGATGGATTTACAAAAATCACTAAACTGGGAAGGATCCAGGTACCAGGAAGGTTTTGGGAAATGAGGTGAATGGGACAGTTAAAAAAACTTGTATTCCAAAATCGAACAAAAAACAAATCATGGCAATGTTTTAATTAAAAACTAAAACATTACCCGTCACTTTAATGTTGCAATCTCATAGACTTCCAAGGAAAAGGTAGCCCTTAACTTTGTAATTAGATCAAAGAGAGAACACCTAAAACAATTCTAATCAAAACCCAGCTCGTAAGTGTAATACTAATTCATCTCTGGTGCTACTAGGAGTACTTTGGATCCGTCATCTTCCATCATATCCACCCAATTATCCATAAGTTTGTGTCTAAAAAAGAGCTAATACCACTTTTAGTCTCTTGAATGTGGTGACATGTCCATTTTGGTCATCCAAAATTAATTCAACCACTTTTGGTCATTCAACTATTCAAATTATACCAAATTTAGCTCTAATAGGCAAAATAACCTTAAGTGAAGGGCTAAGTTTTCTGTGAGACATTTTGGGGCTCTTATTTCAAATTTAGCTCTTTTGGTCAAAATAACCTTATACGATGAAGGGTTAACTTTTCTGTGAGACATTTTGGGCATGCAATGGTATGTCTTAAAAGTAAAGAGACCCAAAGTGACAATCGATAGTCTAGGAACAAACGTGAAAGTCACTTCAAAATAACAGCCATGGCATTAAAGGATATCAAAGCAGAAATGAATCCAACACCAACACCTGCAGCATCATGATTATGCAGTTAGAAGCCACAGAATAAAAGAAGTCTCTTTTGAAAGTTGAAATGAATATGCATGTCCAGATATTCAATTGCAGCTGGACCCTCAATGACAATAGATATAGACCATAAGTGTAATCTCAGTGACAAATAACAAATATACTGCTCCGTAATATATATGATTGTTCGATAGCCCTTTGTTATCCATCAAAGCACATGCCTCCATCTAACCCCGATTTCTTAATCAATACTCACTAGCTGAACAACAACAACAACAACCGAGTTGAATCCCACAAGAGTAGGGTCTGGGGAGGGTGTGTGTACGTGACCTTACCCCTACTCAAAAGTAGAGAGGCGGTTTCCAAAGAGATCCCCGGCTCAGCGTCAAAAGTTGCATTGATTGACTAACTACTACTTCATTAATTAAAGAAGCACAGACAATTTAGAGATCCATTTTGTTATATTCCATGACATCCCAAAGCCAAAAAATACTGAATTTTTTGCTCCACCGAAGATGATGGAAATACTCACTAGCTGAACAGACAAAATAATTGAGGCTTTATGCAAATCAAGATTACATCGATTTTTAAATATATATTTCCATCCAGCCCCCCACCGCCACCACCCAGTGAAAACAGAACTATATGGAGTAAAACATGTATTGACACTCATTTCATGCCACAAAGAAGGTTTCAAAGTTGTGAAGACTGACCTGCTGACATCGATCCAAAAAATGTCTCTATAAAACGGACAATGATCATAAAAAAGTTCTGTCCAGATGAGGCATTGCTTCTCACTAATGATATTGTCCTGCAGAATTATAGAGATTCCAGGGTTTGAGTGAATATCCAACATGACTCATTATACAAAAGCATTTCTAGTAGACTAACCTGTATAGAGATATTGCCATCTCCAGTTGTGCAACAGGAAAAACAAGAGACAAATTAGCAAAGGGAATCCCAAACATCTCGAGGAACGTATACCATATAACTAGAACAGAATAGAAGGCATAAAAAGAACAAAGAACTTACTGCATCATTTAAAACAGATTCACCAAACACCAATGCATAAAGGTTGACATCCGTTCCAAGCTCCTGCAATATAGAAAGAAAGAACATTTTCTTGTGATGTACTCCATATAGAACAGGTCAAATTGTTAACACTGTCTGAAGTGAAAATTAAAATTTTCATCAATAGCGAATCAGGGTCATTTTCTTTTCTTTTGTGACATGGCATGCATGTGTCTACCTATCCCTCTATAAACATGCACTTAGATATATAAATCTGATAGTTAATTAGCCCTGCGCAATTATTTTAAGAGTACTTTGCTGATTATCAAAGAAAAAGTATAGAGCATAACCTGAAATATAGACAGAACTGTGACAGGGTCAGTTGCTGATATAAGAGCCCCAAACATCAGGCATTCAAGAAAAGGAAGTTTGTACATGATATATATCACTCCTCCGATGTAACTGCAGCCGAATTCATTAAAAATAACATATTTAACATAGAAAAATAAAAGAAATTGAACATCAGTGAGTATATAAAAAGTCAAATAAATCAAAAACCTTGGTGGAAATCCAAAACAGTATACCAGTACTGTACTTACACCAAAATGCCTGTAACAATTGAGGCAACAAATGTTCCAAATATAGAAAATGTCACAATGGCTCCAAAATTTGAAAAAAACGGCTTCTGAAAAATGCATAAACAATCAAATCTTGTATTGTGTAAAATATAATTAAATTTGATATCCATTGAAAGAAGGAAAAAAGGTGTAGAGTTTACCGGTGATAAACTGAATCCTGATTGAGTAGAAGATAAAGTCAAGGAAACCACTTTTGCTATTCGTTTCAAAAAAAGAAACCAGAACATATAACTCTTGCACAGAATACAAAAATATTTAAAAGAAAAGGATATAATATGATAGGAGGCAACAGGAAGAGGAAGAAGAATTCCTCATGAAAGTTAAACCATGCCCTGCCATCACAAACCATGAGTCAAGAAAGAGTGAGAACCAAGTCATCAATTGAAATTCTATGTGCATTTATCGTGACAATGCAAACATAGAACATGTTACATACTTACATGCACTCAGCTCACAAGTCACAAGTCACAACAACATATGTACAGAGATACATAAAACGAGTTAAGAAAATGAAACTTTACCGGATGTTTCTTTCAGTATCTGAAATTGTAGCCAAGCCACCTACAATTAGACCTGCCAAAGAAAAGTATGTGATTGCTACAACTTCAGTGAACATGAGTGTACTGATCAGTAGAAAATATTGTTTCATTTTTTAAGAATTGATACGATTGTCAGGAATGTCAGCAACAAACTCAAAGTGCGCACTGATTTGGCAGGGAGATTCAGTAGAAAGAGTCAAAGAGATGATTTTGCCATTGAATAGTTGGAGAACTGGACTCATGAAATGAAGGAAAATCGATGAAAATGGAGCAGTAGCATTACCGATCAAAAGGGAGGCGCTAGCTTCTGGAAGATAGTAGAACCTATGGCGGCGAAGGACATGACCGAGGACAAAAGAGAGAACGAGCATCATGATCTGCAGAAGGATTCCCACTCCGGCGGCTTGTTGTTCCTTCCCGGGGCTTCCCCGAGCATCCGCCGGAGAAATTTGGAGGAGCAGTTGCTCTTCCATCGCAGAATCCGGCTCACCCCAAGGGAAAGAGGAGATTCCCTGAAGCAAACGTAAAGTATGGAGGACGCCGCCGACAGTCGGAAGGACACTTACGACAGCGTATTGAAGGCGATGACGATGCTTCAATGTGCTCAACCTCTCTGCAGATGAAATCCTGGAAGCCGGCGACTCCCCAATTCCGGCACGTTTTCTCAGTTGGAGGAGTATTGTTTAACGTTGGTCAGAAATGGTAAAAAGAATAGGTAGTGATTATTTATGGGCATCTTTTTGAGAATATAATTTTGTTTGACATTCAATTGGCATAATCCTAAAAACCCATCAAGGTGAAGGCTCGAGGTGTCACACCCCTCCATCTAGGGTTGGACCCGGTTCTGGGTAGAACCAATACCGGAACAATCGATTTTGAGAACCGTGCTGGTGACAAAGAGATTGTGTGTCTAGAACCACCGATTCTGGTTCATTTCCAATTCTGATTTAGAATATTATAATATCATTTTTTTAACTTTTATTTTTACTTTTTTCCATATATTATAAAATATCTTTCCAGAAAAATGATTTCAAAAATATTTTTTTTAAAACCAAGTTCAAAAGCTACTCCCCTTGGCTTTTCAGATTTTGGCATTTCGGATAAAAAAGCCAAGTAAAGAAGTCATTAGCCAAACAATAGTTTTGGCAGTTCGATAAGTCAAACAAGCCAAAGTCAGTCAAAGGTACCAAAAGCTATCCGAAAAGTTGTTTTCCAAACATAGCCATTATGCCACATGCCAAACTCTCATGCATTGAACTCTTGTGATAAGGATAAATTAAATATCGATACTAATAGTGCAAATGTTAGATTGAGATCGTTGAAAGTTAAATGAGAAGATTAAATTTACTCATACAATGAGGAGTCTTAAAGTTACAATTTTTTTAAGATAAGTAACGACCAAACTATTTCTTTTTTTAACATAAGATCACTAACCTAAATATAATATTATTAAAATTCATTCAGAGAAGTGCATGCGTAACTAATTATTCCACAAAAATTAATTGAAAATTTTTTTATAAATGAAAAATAAAACACTAAAATATGAAAAAGTATTATTATAAAAATGAATACCACTATTTCATAATTAAATTTATTCAAAGATTTCATACCAAAATATTCTTTCATATTTTATGTCTTAAGATAGGTGTTATATTATGTGTAAAAAGCCGCATAAGTAATGCAGATGCCTACTTTTTAAAGATAAAAGTTTCATCTTTTTATTTAAAGGATTTATTGAATAATTTTATTTTTAATAATTTAATATAAAGGATTTATTGAAACTTTTTATTTTTATTAATAATTTTATTCTTGATGAAAAATAAAAGTTTATTCTCATGTCAAGTATTATTGAATGAAGTCTAACTTATAAATCAAATGCCACATAATATGCCTATATTATGCCACATGTATACCCTATATTATGCCACATGTCAAGCTCTTATGCATTGAACTCTCAATTTTATATATAAAGGAATCAAAATACATTTATACATAACTAATTATATTTTTTTAATATTTAAAATTAGGTTACTCATTACACTTAATACTTACTGTACATTTTTTTTTACATATTTGAAATTTGTCATTATGCTGGAAAAAGATTTTCTTTGATATAAAATTTGTTATTTTGTTTTTGCTGTGCACAAAATTTGAAAGAAGGTGTGATTTTTTTTTGTTTTTGTTTTTTTGGGATCAGAGACATTAAAGCGGAAAGAAAGTAATGGGCCAGGCCTTTGAGACCTGACCCGTTTCAAATACATTTCTTACTTCCCTTTCGAGGCCATCAATATGCTGCTGCGCAGGCGGCGCAGCTCAGAGACAAGAGCATATAGAGCCAAAGAAACGCATGAGAGAAACGGCAAACAGGAGGTAGAGTCGCAGAGAGTTCGATTCAAATAGCGCGAGAATGAGAGCTTGAAGACGAAGACGCCTTCTGACAAAAGGGAGTCCAGATCGTAAAACACGACCGGAGTAGCCACAGGAGTCGGAGACAGCCGAAGGGTATAATCTCTAAGGAGGTTTCGAATCTTTGATCCGAACCCCCTGGTTCCTTCTTCTCTATCTCTTAATTTTTAGAAATTTTTAGTCTTAGATTTCGTTCTCAAGCATAGAAATTTGCATTATTTAATTTTCCAGAAACTGGAATTAACTTTTGAAGTTTGAGGAATTTTAAAGTTCTGATTTTTTTTCCTTTTTGCGTTAAAAATGTTTTGAAAGTTTCAGTTTTCTTGTTTAAATCCGTGATTTTTCATCTTCACTGCCCAGGTCTGAAATTTTAAATAAAAATAAGCCTTTGCGATTCATATGGATTGAAACCTTGAAATGTCCCTGCTTGGTTTATAAGTTAAATTGCTGCCGCGAGATTTGGTTTATTAATCTGTTATATTGATCAGAGTTCAAATTTGTGCTACTCAGCTGTTGTTTTATCAATTTTTGGGGTTTGATAACTGATTTCAATGTTTAATAATTGGCTTAAGCAAGGTTGCTATGAATGCATGCTTAGTATATCAATCGTAATTTGAAACTGATAGTTTTATAAACACAAGAGTAGTATTACTGTGGTTAACAAAACACAGGTGTCATCCAGTTGGTAAAGTGACTCAAAAAAATTTTTCTGCCTATTTATTTGTCTTAGTGACGTGATTAACGAACTCGTTGGTGGGCTAGTGACAAGTTGTTAGGTGATGTTTTTTCAAAGAACTTAATGCTCTAATTCTATACAAGCCTTTTGGTTTGTCTTAGGGTTTGGTAGAAATGGTAGGGTTTAGAGTTAGGGTTTGCCCTAACATAAACTAATAAGTCTGGGAAAATGGATCATTCTATGGGTACCCAAAGCTTGACCCCAACTCTCACCTCACCTTCTCACAAGCATAACCCACAATTTTTTTATCATCTTGGTTAATGATTAAACAATCTTTTATTAAATTGAACTCTTAAAAAATGTTTTCTAGGAAATCTAGTATTTTATCTTTTGAAGTTTTTTAACAAACCCCCAAATCTTTATATGTTATGTTTAAAGTTGCTATGGTTGATATGCCTATAGGCTATATCTATTACAGAGTATATATTAGTATTTTACTCGTATCTTTTAAAGTTTATTAACAAACCCCCCCCAAATCTTTTATATCTTACGAGTATATTTTAAGTAATACCATAAGTATGTTTTGTGTTTTGAATAAGTTATACTATAAGTTTAAAAACAAATATATTTTTAAAGGATAAGTTAGCTATTACTCCACATAAATTTTAAAGTAATCTATTTTATTACATAATCCATAGTTATTGTATTAAGAAATTGTGACAAGAGTAATATGAACCCTTTGGTGTTTGGTGAAGCCTAAATAGGGTTAGACTTCAATATCTTTTGATATAACAATCCTTCTAAGAGCCTGTTATTTGGAGTTGTAAAAATCAACTTGGAGTTCCCTCAAACTCCTTTCAATTTCTTCCAACCCCTTCCGTTTTCTTCCTACTCCCAGTTTATTCAAACTTCCTTCTTTTTCCAACCCTAAAGAATAAGCTCTAAATGTGGGTGTTTTGTTATCTCCCTTGACTTGACCATTGTTGCAGGTTACCAATAACCAAAATCGTCGGACACCCACCACCACCATTGGCCAACAACCACCACCACCATCGACCACACAACACCTCCATTGACGGACAACAACCACCTACCACCGTTGTTGCTGGCGCCACTATCGATTGCCAACAACCACCATTGCCTCTGGCCAATAACTACTGTCCCATGGGACAACCAGCATTGCCACTGCCATGGGCTAACAAACACCAATCACCTCTGTTGTCAGCCAACCACCACCACACCTATGGCCAAACACCACCATGGTCGTCAGCTAACAACCACCACCACTGTTGGCCAACAACCACCTTCATTGCCGGCTAATAATCACCACCCTTGTTAGCCAGCAATTCTAGCTTTTCCTCCAACAATCAAGTTGCATTTGATTCCATTTATGTTTTTCTCCAAACAAGCATGTGAAAGATATCAAAAAATATTCCATTTGTTAGAGATCAAAACTCATTCCATTTCTAAACTGTATTGCTAGCCCTAAGATTAAAGCTTAACCATAACTCCTGATAAAAGTATGATACCGGAGATAATAAAAATATACCTGTTTTGCCCACTAAACCTGGCCTTAAGAGCTGCAACCAAACAAGCTCTAAGCATTAAGTCCTTACCTCAGTGTAGAAAATGAAAAAGTCAGCGTGAAAGGGCTATCCCTACTGCTGCTGAGCCAAGGAACAATGCATATCAACTATCATCACAAAGATTGAAAGGTGAGTTATTGCTTCCACTGGCCATATCTGAAAGATGAAAACACCATTATAATCCAACGATTGATTTTGGAACTCCCTCAAATTCAATGTTTTTCCATATCCAAGTATTTCCTTTGCTATGCAGTTTCTCCATTTTCTCTCTTTGCTGCTGCAACTCCCAACATGACCAAATTTTCTAAAACGTTAATTAATTCTCACTTCTACTATCCAGATATGAAACATGATCAAATTTTCTAAAACGTTAATTGATTCTAACTTCTACTATCCAGATATGAAACATGATTTTTGATGTTTTCACAATGGATGATTTGTTAGCTGTATGGTGAAAAATGTCAAACATGAAACACCATTGTATGTACAGATCTTCTATTTACACTATACTCCGTATTTTCCAATGCACCACTCTGTAAATCTTCTTTTCCAATTTGTTTCCTCATTATTTCTGCTACTTTGATGTATGTATGTATGCATGTGTGTATGGAGTATATATTAAATTATAATACACAGGTTCATCTGTATATTTTGAGGAGATGCCTTTTTTGTTCAGGCTGTCAGTTAGGCGTCACAAAACAAACCCTACATGTCCTTTTGATAGCTGGAATACAGAACACGTACGAAGTGTATCTTCAATCATTGATTCATTGTATCCACTTGCATATAGCAGTTGTGCATCTCTCCCAATAGCTGGTGTCTCCACTTGTGGCTGCTAATCCTCGCGCCTAGCAGAGGTTAGCTTTCTTTCTTTTTGTGCTCTTTCTTCTCTTTTTTTATTATTTACTTCCTTAATCATGTATTAGTCCTCCATTATTAGCACTTTATTATACTTCAAATTATTATTTATATTTCTATGAAGTTGATCAGTCATAATCAACTAATCCTCTATAGTATATTTCATTTTACTAGTCTTTCACTGGTCATGGAGATTGAACTTTTATCTTCACTTTGATGTGCTATTTGTGGCTTTTCTTGATGAATACTTTGTATTTCTTTATTATCTCACATCAGGTTCAAACTTTTACCTTGGTATTCTTGTTCTTATTAGTGTTTGAGATACATGAATTATTTACTGTTTAATTTTCAATATTAAATCATTAGAGGTGTACTGTTTTCTTGCTATTGATATATGTAGAGTATTGGATCTTATTCAATTTATACTTTTGTTATTGATATATGTCCTTTTTCTATTTAATTTCCTTTATCCACTTTCAAGACTTCGATTCCCTACCGTACTCTGTAAAATCAAGGCATAGAGAACAAGCCCATAATCTTTTACGGGGTATGGTGATGAATATTTCACTCTGCAATTCTTATTTTCATGTTTCAGACTTCACACACACACAGACACTCATAGTTATTAAAGGTGAGTGCTTGGGTTGCTTAAAATATACTCCCTCTGTCCCATAAAAAATTTCCTATTTACTATTTAGTTCACATTATATCTTCTTTCCTTGAGTATTTTCAATTTTTCATTGATCATTTGTTAAAATAATATATGCAAATCACTTATTTTGTGGAATTGTTTTATGCAGTTTGTAAATATATGTATTCTATTGCATCTATGACAGTACACACACACACACTCATAGTTAATAAACGCGAGTATTTTTGTCGCTTGAAATATACTCCCTATGTCCCATAAAAATTTTTCCATTTACTCCGGAGTATTTAGAGGTTCATATCATATCTTCTTTGCTTAAGTAATTTCATTGCTTATTTTTTGAAAATAATATAGGCAAATCACTTGCTTTGTACAGTTTTTTTTATGTAGTTTGTAACTATGTACTCCATATAAATTTTATTTGTTTATTCTCCACCAGTTATTAAGGCCTTTTTTGGAAACAATGTTTTCGAGTAGCGTTAGCATTTTAGATAAAATTTTTATGGTGTAAATTAACTTTGAAAGTGCTAAAGCTAAACATTGTCATTAGATAGCCTTTTTAAAATGCTAACTCCAAACTCAAATGTTATTTTCAAATGGGCACTAGATAAATTGAATGAAAATTAACTTCAGACAAACATTGTAAGCCATAACGAGATGTTTTTTTAATGAGACATTGAGCATGAGCATGGAGTCTGGAAAGTTTCAAGAGGTGTGCGCTTGAGTGAGAAATTTAGTAAGGGGTAGGATACTAGCTTATTTATAATTAAGTATACTTTAGACACAACTCTAGCAACTCTTTCTCTGATTTACGATTGTGTGTGTGCTTTCTGCCGTTCCATAATTAAACTATGTGTGTGTGTGTGTGTGCCCGCGCAGGGCGCATGCGTGTGTGTGTGTGCGCGCACATTGCCGCTTAGGCGCGTGTTTAATCTATCAGGGGATATGGTCTTGTCACCCCAAGAATAATCTGTTACACTAAAGCTCTACTTCATTTTTGCAGTCTGAAAATGGGGGGTCAGAAGAAACCTTCAAAATCTAGTAAGAATGCAGGTCGAAGTGTTTCCACGATATCTACGTTTGATGGACCTGAGCAACTGGGGAATAGCGACAATGATACCAATGATGAAGAGATTGAAATCCGTCCCAGTACTACCTTCACTGGAAAGAAAAAGAAATCATCTAAAAAGAGTAATCCATTCTATTTGGATGATGATGAAGATGCCAGTTTAAATAAACTGAATTCTGATTCATTTGAAGAGGATGCCACTGCTCAGGAAGAGGAAGATGATACATCTGTGATTGTGTTTTGTGGTAAAAAGAAGTCATCTAAAAAGAAGAGTCAATCTGCATTCCACATGCTTGAGGACGAACCAATAGATGAGTCACCTGATGCAGTTGATTCTGAAAAAAACAGCTTCGCTGATATAGACAGAGAAGCAGAAGTAGCAAAAAGCAAGAAGCAGGTGAAAGATGATACTGCTGGAATTTCAAAGAGCAAGACAAAGAAGAAGAAGGGCGGGAAAACAGCTCAAGAAGACGAGGATGATATTGATAAGATTCTAGCTGAGCTTGGTGAAGGTGCATCCAATCCTTCGATGCCTCTCCCGAGGGATATCTTACAGGTGCAGCCTGAACCGAAAGGTACCGATTCATTTGAAGATTCCACTGCTCAGGAAGATGATACTTTGATTATGTTTTCTGGTAAAAAGAAGTCATCTAAAAAGAAGAATCCATCTGCATTCAACATTCTCCAGGAAGAGTCCATAGACAAGTCACTTGATGCAGTTGGTAATGAAAAACAGAGCTTAGCTGAAAGCGTCAGAGATATAGAAGGAACAAAAAGCAATCAGGTTCAAGGTGACCAATTTGGAATTTCGAAGACCAATTCAAAGAAGAAGAAGAAGGGTGGAAATACAGCTCAAGAAGATGAGGATGAAATTGACAAGATTCTATCTGAGCTAGGTGAAGCCCAAGCCGCATCCATTCCTTCTGTGCCTTCTCTACCTCCCCCCGAAGAGAAGTTACAGGTACAACCTGAACCCAAAGGAAAAGCTAAGAAAAAGAAGGGTGGGAAAAAAACTGAAGAGGACAATGAAATTGACGCCGTTTTGGCTGAACTTGGAGGGGGTATGCAAACATCAAAACCTGACCCTGCTTCTCCCCAAGAGGAAAAAGACAAGGATTTTCTTGAAGCAGGAGAAGATATTCCTGAGAAGGAAACATCAGAGGGGGTGGCGGCGGAGTCTGCAGTTGCAAAGAAGAAGAAAAAGAGGAAAGAGAAAGCAAAGGAGAAAAAGACAGCTGCAGCTGCAGCAGTTGCACCTGTAATTGAGGAAAAGCAGGAAGCAAAAGCTGATGGCAAGGGTAAGGCTGATAAAAAAGTCCCTAAACACGTCAGAGAGATGCAAGAGAGGCTTGCCAAACTCAAAGAAGCAGAAGAAAGAAAGAAAAGGGAAGAGGAGGAGAAGTTGAGGAAGGAAGAAGAAGAACGCCTCCGGCTAGAGGAGTTAGAAAGGCTTGCAGAGGAAAGGAAGCGCTTAAAAAAGGAGAGGGAGAAGGAAAAAATGTTGAAGAAGAAGCAAGAGGGGAAGTTGCTGACTGGAAAGCAGAAGGAAGAAGCTCGCAGATTAGAAATGATGAGAAAGCAAATACTCACAAATGCTGGGGGCTTACCACTCCCTGTTGGGGAGACTGCTACGGATGGAACAAAACGGCCGAAATACCAAACAAAGAAGTCCAAACAACAATCCCATGGAAATGATAAACCTATTGCTGTCACTACTGAAATCAGTGGTGTGAAGGAATCTGAGCAGGAAGTTATACATGAGGTTGACTCTTTGGAAACAGAGATGGCTGAAGAAGTAGATTCACTGAATACAGAGGACAAAGCAGAGATTGCTGATGCCGAAGAAAATGGAATTGAAGAAGATGAAGACGATGATGACTGGGATGCAAAAAGCTGGGATGAAGATAATCTCAAACTGCCTGGTAGAGGTGCATTTTCTGATGAGGAGGTAGATGGCGAACCCAAAGCGTTAGCTAGGAAACAGACAAAGACTGCACTGGCAGCCGTTCGTGATTCAGGTGCTCCATCTGTTGCTTCCAAGCAAGCCCCTGTAACTGCACCCGTTGTATCTAAAAGTGAAAAAACTAATAGACGGGAGCCAGAGTCTGCGAGCCAGGACAAAAATGGCCAAGAAAAGAAGGAAGCACAAAAACCTGTTGCATTGCCAGACAAGAGTGAAAAGAACCTACGTTCTCCCATTTGTTGTATTATGGGTCATGTTGATACTGGGAAAACCAAGCTCCTTGATTGTATACGAGGCACTAATGTCCAAGAAGGTGAAGCAGGGGGGATTACTCAGCAGATTGGTGCTACTTACTTTCCTGCGGAGAATATAAGAGAGAGAACTAGGGAACTTAAAGCTGATGCTACACTCAAGGTACCTGGTTTATTGGTTATTGACACGCCAGGGCATGAGTCATTCACTAATCTCCGCTCCCGAGGGTCAGGTTTGTGTGATATTGCAATTTTGGTTGTGGACATTATGCATGGACTAGAGCAGCAAACTATCGAGTCCCTCAATCTTCTAAAGATGAGGAATACAGAGTTTATAGTTGCTTTAAACAAGGTGAATGCTATAAAGACGATATTGTCCTTTTTCTTGGCTTATTGTGATGGTATTAAGGGTGCATTGTTTAAAATCATTCTTTGGAAAATAGGTTGACAGGCTCTATGGATGGAAAGTTTGCAGTAACTCACCTATTCAGAAGGCAATGAAACAACAGAATGCAGATGTAGTGCGTGAATTTAAAGAAAGACTCATTCAGGTCATGCTCAAACTACTTGTACTTATCAAAGGCTGGATACCGCTAAATTCACATTGATTTTCTAAGCTTACTATAGAAGCTAAAAATTTCAGATAGTCACACAGTTCAAAGAACAGGGAGTGAATACGGAATTGTACTATAAAAACAAAGATATGGGTAAAGATACATTCAGCATTGTTCCCACTAGTGCTATCAGGTGATTCCATTTACTCATTTCATGTTTATGGTTGCTTCAGTTATATGTTTCAAAATTTATTTACAAATTTCTGTTTCTGTTTTGGGGTTTTCTTCACTTTCAAATCCATGCTAACCTCTTTTTTAATCTTCCCGATGTTATGGTCATTCTGAATTAATAGTGGTGAAGGTATTCCTGACTTATTGCTATTACTTGTCCAATGGACTCAAAAGACGATGGTTGAGAGACTTACATTTAGCAATGAAGTCCAGGCATGCTCTCCTGATATATCTCATTTAACTTTCCCAGAAAAATATTGTGAAAGTAGTGTTCTGAAGGTTGTTACTCTCTGGCAGTGTACTGTATTGGAGGTAAAGGTTATTGAAGGCCATGGGACAACAATTGATGTGGTACTAGTTAATGGGGTGCTTCATGAAGGAGACCAAATAGTTGTTTGTGGCACACAGGTACGGCCTTGTTAAGGTCTATACTCTGTAAATTGTTGTTGTGCTTTTATATATGTTTAAACCTCTTTTTTGGTTTTTAAGGGTGAACCTATCGTGACCTTCATCCGGGCTTTACTGACCCCTCACCCAATGAAAGAGCTTCGAGTGAAGGTTGGTGCGAACATTTCCTCTTTTGATTCTTATTCTTATCAAGGTCATATACATTCAATGTTAATTCAATATCGCTAGGCACAAGCTAATCAACATTTTTTAGTTTTGAATAACATGGCGTCTCTTTTCGACAGTGTTAGGATTTCTAGGAACATAGTATTCTGTGGCAAATGAAATATACATGTAGCCTTAGGTTTTATGTGATGCATATATCATCTTATTAAGGGTGTTTCTAATTTGTATGCAGGGTACATATTTGCACCACAAAGAAATCAAGGCCGCACAGGGCATAAAGATTACTGCCCAGGTATTGGCTAGTTTGTATGTAATTATTCAACTATATGCCGATGCAGATTTTAAGAAAGCATATACTTTCCAGCATTTTTTTTGCATACTTTTCTGATTCCCAGACATGTAAATGACATGAGAATATCTATAGAATATGAAGTATTATTTGTCTGGGTAAATTTATTTTGTAATTATGTTTTATTTTAATATAGTTGCATCTTGCAATCTACTCCCTGTTCCCCTACATATGTTCCCTACAGAAACTCTTATAGTCATTGCTTCTCTTTTTTGTTATAGAATTTTCTCATTCTGTCATTTTCTTTATTAGCAAGGAATTTGTTCGATGTGTTAGTTTGTTCGTTGAATAAATCATAAACATGCAATTAGGTATTCTGTAATTCATTCATAAAATAGACATTTTAACATAGATGAATAGGGAGCTTGATCACGTCCTCATGGTTGTGCCTAGGTTTCTCTTTTTTCATGATGATTACACGCCCACACAATTAGGAAGTTTGCATAAGTGGGTTGCTTATGTGCATTGTTGTTACTGAAAGTATGCATTTTTTAATTATTTTTTGGGATGGATTCTTGTGCAGGGCCTTGAACATGCTATAGCAGGCACTAGTTTGTATGTTGTGGGACCGGATGATGATGTGGATCACGTAAAAGAAGCAGCCATGGAAGATATGAGGTCAGTGATGAGCAGGATTGATAAGAGTGGGGAGGGTGTTTATGTTCAGGCATCTACACTTGGATCACTAGAAGCTTTGCTGGAGTTTCTAAAGAGTCCCGACGTTAGCATACCAGTTAGTGGCATTGGGATAGGCCCTGTACACAAAAAGGATGTCATGAAAGCCAGTGTCATGCTTGAGAAGAAGAAAGAATATGCAACAATCCTTGCCTTTGATGTTAAAGTTACACAAGAAGCTCGTGAACTTGCAGATGAATATGGTGTAAAGATTTTCATTGCTGATATTATATATCATTTGTTTGATCAATTTAAAGCCTACATAGATAATCTCAAAGAGGAAAAGAAGAAGGAAGTCGCTGAGGAAGCAGTCTTTCCTTGTGTTCTTAAGATTGTACCCAGTTGTGTTTTCAATAAGAAGGATCCCATTGTTCTCGGTGTTGATATTCTTGAAGGCATTGCTCGGGTAATTAACATCTCCTTCATTATTATCTTATGGACTTGTTTTCTTGATGGGTTGGTGTTGCACAAGGTCACCTTATTTGTGGATAAATGTGCTAACTTTCTGTTTATTGTTAGTTCATGCTCTGTATTTAATTTCTTAAGATAACCAATCTTAATTTAGCATAAACCACTATCTTCGTCCCGATTTCATGAAACTTGTCATTTTTCTTTTAGTCGACTGACTAGTAGGCAATAATGTCTTGTCATGCATATTGACATGGGCTGGTTTGGCTTTTATAATGGATATTTGTTAAGTGATTACAAAGCTGTATATTCTAAATGTCATTTGGGTGAGTGTTTGTCCAGTTAAGCTTTTATTAAAATTTAAAAACAGTTATTGCTTGGCAATTCAATCACTTATTGTGGTGTATGAAAATTTCATCCAAAGGCATCAAATTTGTGTGTTAGTCAAGTTGCCTTATGGGGATCAATAACACAGCTGCAAGTGTGTAATCTTTGTGCAAATGGGTTGCTAATCTCAAACATGCTTCAGATAAAAGTGTATCTGCAAGACGCAATCATTCTGTCACATATCTTACGGTGTTTGCTCAATGTTTGGCGATCCTGTCAGGTTGGAACTCCTATTTGTATTCCTTCAAGGGACTTTGTTGAGATTGGTCGGATTGCATCTATTGAAAACAACCATAAACCTGTTGACTCAGCAAAGAAAGGACAAAGGGTTGCCGTTAAGGTATGAATCCTGCTGAAAATTGTTTGGGGAATCTTTTTTACTGGTCACAAAGATGGTTAAGGGTGCTTTAGTGTCCTTCCCACTGCTCAAAAGCAGATATACTTGCATGGTGAATTTAATTAAATCTTGTGGATTTCACAGATAGTTGGATCAAATTCTGAAGAGCAACAGAAGATGTTTGGTAGGCATTTTGATGAGGAAGACGAGCTTGTCAGTAAGATTTCTAGGAGATCAATTGACGTACTCAAGGAAAATTTCAGGGTATTCAAATACTTTTTTCACTATATCTTGGAGAGAGAGAGATGGATCTATCTTGCTTGTAAGTGCACATGTTTTTCTATGTCAAGCATGCCAAAACTTATTCTTCCTCTGTTTCAAAATTGTACAGAAAGATCTTTCTGTCGAAGAATGGAGGCTGCTTGTGAGGCTGAAGAACATCTTTAAGATACAATGAGCTCTCAGTCCTGTTTTTCAGAAAAATTCCCAGGGATTGAAGAGGCAAACTGATTCCGGTAAAAGCACAGTCCCTTTTCAGAGATATTATACACACTTTTGGAAAGTCTTCTTCCAAGAGTACGGCATAATGAGCAATCTTGTGTTATCATACAGCTGCGGATTTGGGAGGTTAGTTTTGGTTGGATTTCTTGTGCAAGGCTGGTCTTTAGTATTGAAGTTGTGTTAAAAAATATTATTTATTCACTCCACCCCACCCCACCCCCACCCCCACATAAATTTGTTATGTGATTCTCCATGGTCTTTTATGGAGTTTTTTTGGTGTCGGCAATCCGTTGTATAAATTAGAGCACACAAGACACACTTTCGATCCATTTCTGTGCTGTTGGATGTTTTTAATGTGACCGCACAAAGAGAGCAAGAAGGGTACAATGAGACCATGATTTGCTTTGGCCGTTTTGTTTTCTGCGTTTAGATTGCTTTGTGACCAAAATTGGTCAGCTTTTAGCGCATTCGCGTAGCTTTTGAATCAAGTTATAATAGCGCATCTTTTCCCCAAACCTCACCCTTCTTAGGAACATACAATTGAGTGAGTATTCATTGTGTTACATTGTGATTCATCCATTAGTCGACTTTTGCGTTTAGATACAATAGTTGCCCCTTAGTCGACTTTTGCGTTCATAGACAAGTCACCCGTTCATCGACTTGTGTGTTGTTCATCTAATCACTATCTTTTGAAATAAGATTTTACAATCGGCCGGACGCATATGTGATTATTAATAAAGGTTAACATATGGCTATGGAATTTTATGAATCAAAGAGTTCTTCCTCAAAATGACCAATTTTGAGAAAAAAAAAGAAAAACATTGTGAAATTTTGTATGGGACAAAAGTAGAGTATTAATTTCTCCGTTTTAATAAAAGACTAGTTACTATTCAAAGGTCAAATTAACTATATTTTCTTTATAAATAATCATCGATCATTTGATATGATAAAAAACTTTATCAACGTTTGTTTAGTAGAATTTTTGATGTAGTTTTTATGAAAAATTCTCTTGTGGTTCTACACAAAAATGTTCTAATTCTGGATTACGACGAATGATCAAAGTTATTTTTCATTCAATTTATATAATGACTGATGTAAAATTAATAACAAAGCTTATTTGTTTAAAAACTAGTTCAAAAATTTTACTCTTCTGTCTCAATTTAAATTGTCAGTTTTGGTTTTTGATGTTTGATTGAATTTATTTTCAAACAATTTATTAGCAAATTGGAGCAAAATTAATAAATAAAACTTACATATTAAAAAACTATATTAAAATATCTACAATACAGGAGTTGTCATAATTATATTATTTTATCAAATAAGTAACAAAAATAAAAAGAAAGTGAATGAAACTTGATCATCGATAGCATGATCTATTAATAAGCTAAAGGGGATATAATCAACTGAGGTCCCTATAGGATTTTTTGAATTCTAAAAGTCTGTAGATATTCAACAAGATTTTAAAAAATCAATTGAAATCTAATGATATTCAATTAATATTTTAAAATATGTATCTAGATCTAATGATATTGAAAATGTAATGGATTTCTAAAAAATACATTGGAAATGGATTGTGATGGATTATGGGGTCCATAGCATAAATAAAAATCCATGAACAAATCTCTTCGCAATCTTAAGTTCTATGTTCACTTTATAAATCTTAGGACATTCGTAATATAAAAGAAGTTAGTCTTTTGCAAAGAAGAAAATATCTACATGCAAGTCCATGAAAAATGTAACAATGCCTACATTATAAATGTGAATTTAGGAACCATATAAGCATTATTTGTTTTTAACATATAACTTTTATATTTCATTCTATATCAATCTTTACTTACATTGATTTGATAGTCCCCTTAGTCTTACCCTATAAATACATGCATGTGTAGAATTTTCTTTGAAGGATCGTATCCTAAAGCACTGTATTGTAATCCTTGCCCCCCCCCCCTCCGTACTCTCTACAAGATGTTAATAACTACTGATCCATCCGTCCTAATTTATTTATTCTAGTTTGATTTTTAATTTAAATTTGACAACAAATTAAATATAATTTTGAATAGATATAAGTTACCAAGTTTTTGTATATCAAAATCGCATCTCAAAACAAATTTAATTATTTTAAATTTATATTATAGTTAAATATACATTTCACACAATTTATGATCAAAGTTTATTTAAAATTCAAACTAGGATAAATAAATTAGGACGGAGGAAGTATTAGTCTATAGGTATTCCCACCTATTACCAACTCAAGCGAGAAAGTTCTAAAAACTTAATGGCCAAGAACGCTTTAATGGTTTTTTTCCGAGTTAAGTGCACCGTTTATCCCCTTATTCTTTAGAAATTGCATGTTTTACCCCTGAATTTTAAAAAGTGCGTCGATTACCCTCGAACTCTTCGAAAATTGCACGATTTACCCCTGCACACTAAAAAATGCACCAAATATCCTTGAACAAATAAAAACGTTGCATCGTTGGTCCTAAACTATTAGAGAGGGAGTGCTTTGCTTCCACACACAAGAATTGTGAATATGATTCATCTGGCCCCTGTGAATTTTCCAAAGTACCTTTACCTAAAATTTTCGTCTTTATTTAAATGTTCAGGAGTAAACAGTACAATTTTCGAAGAGTTCGGGAGTATTTGGTGCAATTTTTATTTTTCAGGGATAAATTGTGCAATTTCTAAAGAATTCAGGAGTACTTGGTGTACTTTTAAATGTTTGGGGGTAAATCATGCAATTTTCAAAGAATTCAGGAGTAAACGGTGCACTTAACTCGTTTTTTCCACACCATTATTGCTTGGTAGTTACCAAATGTGTATAGTGATTCTTTGGTCTACAATTATGGCCTTTTATTTTTTCCACTCTAAGAGCATTGGCAGCGGCAAGGCAAAGCCTTGCCACGCCCTGCCATTCGTGTAGAGGAAAGCATTGCACTGGGAGAGGAAAAAAATGGGTAGCATGGCATTCCGCGAGTCACTTCTCTTTGCGTGGCGGATGCTAGGCAAAATCGAAGCAGCAAAATACAAATATTTTCTTGAAAAATCATCGGTGAATCCTCTTCTCTGTGTGAAAATCATCTGCCGTTTTTCTTCATCGGTTATTTCTCTTCTCCGCACTAGTCTTCTCTTGCCATCATCGTTCACCTTCGAGTCTCAGCTAACTCCAGTCATCCCTAGCTTTGATTGCTCTGAAACACCTTCTATTCTCTCTGCCTAATCTCTTTTGGTTTGAATGGATTATTATTAATTTTTTAAAAATTCAAATAGTTTAATCCATTGTAGTGCATACTAGGTGTTTGACAAAATGTCCAAATTTAGGTTATTGAGTTTTTGGACAACAAAATATTGAGAATCCTGGACCAGTGAATAAGATGACCCGTAGTTGTAACATTTTTTCTCAAAAAACTGATTGGAATGTTACACGGATTACTTGAATTGTAGTAACAATAGATTGCATAAGGGTATAGGTTATCTCTTTGATAATAGATTGCATAAGGCTTAAATCCATTAATATTTCAATAATTGGTCCAAAATAGGGTACAAGTTAGTCTGCTCATTTGTCAATAGTTTATTCTGCTTACCATTGAAACCTACAATAGTAAACACTCCTGCTGAATTGTCTATAGGGTATTCTGTAATATGCTTTGGCTTTCCTCCTGCACATTTGAAATTAAGTTTGCCACCACAAGGATTTATGCTTTTGCCACACATGCTTTGCTTTTAAGATGGCATATATGTAGAGGTGGCATATATGTTGTTCTTTGTAGTTTCTTTATTGTTTGCTTAGATTACTAAATTACCTGAGATTCTGTTAACAAAATGTAAGTGTTTTTGGTTGTCTTGTTCTTTCTTGTTATTCATAATAACCCAACTTCCGTTGAAACATTTTGACGATTTCGCTGTCTGCACGTAGTATCAACGGTCCTTCAAGGGAAGGGATTAAGCGTTTTTTAAATGATGTAGGTCGTCGAACTCATGGTACGTTTCTGCAATATATTCTCAATTGATGTTCTCCGATTTGATGTATTGATTTCTTTCTTGCTTCGAATTTGCAAAGCTCAATCCTAGATGCTCATCACTCAACATCTCCATTGTCAAACCCATAAAAGGATAATTGGCATCAGGTCACGATCTTTCTGCTCTATACATTTAATTTTTTCTTCATTTTCGGCATTTGGTCAGTTACAAAATGATTTAGTCAGCTTAATTGGATGAGAGGTTTCAATTTGTATTTCACAATGTTTATAATTTTCTACTTGTGCTTTTCTCGCATGGGTTTACTCGCTTCTGTAGCTGGTTGAGTCCAAGCAAGTATGGTTTCATCATTCTCATGTTCAAGAAGAAGCATATCCACTTTTTGCTATCTGTGTGAAAGAAGAAAGCAAACTGGTTAGGGGTTTTGTTCCATTATTCCTTCTCTTATATATTCTTCTCAGATGAATTGCCACTTCATCTGAGGATCTGACTTCTTTTCATGACTTTTTATTTTGGAATTCTCAGTTAACTGTGTTTTGTTGTTGTTGTCGTTGTTACGCTTGGATTTGCGTTGATACTACGTGCAGACAGCGAAATTGTCAAAATTGTCAAAATGTTTCGACTTTGGATTTGTGTTTTCATGATTCTTTAAATGGTTGTAATATACTTTTTTGTTGACGCATTTTTATGATTATGTTCTTCGCTTTTTCTATCCCAACTTCTATTTATATAACTTCATATCGACATAATTTGTATTCTATTTCAAATTTAGCATATTCAAATAAATAACTAAAATAATTATGAATAATTAAAGTATACAATTTAAATCTTCACAACAAAATATAAATATTTATAAAAAAAACCAAAAATAAAATATATTGAGTTGAGAAAAAGTAAAATTCGAATGATTAAAATATGTCAAAAATGTAAAGTGAGTAAAAAATAGTGACTTGCCACTGCAGGGCATACCACTCCAATGTCATGCCACTCTGTGACTAGATTAAATTTGATTGGTTGAACAGTGCCATGTCAGCGTGTGGTATTCCAGTATATGACTTGCCATTGTTTATGCTCTAATGGCCAAGCCAGGAAGCGTTCCTTGAGCTGATCCGACTTGTAAATACTATGTCAAGGGAGCACTAGCATGTGAGCTGATCATTAATGGCACAAACCGAGATCATGTTGGCCACATATCTCCTCAAATGTTCTTCAGGATCACACTCCTCGTCATATCTTCTCACAGGGAACCTATATAGTTACTAGTTAGTTAATGAAGGCATGAACCCGAATTCCATCATACGGAGTATAAATTAATATCACCTCTTGTTTCTTATGTAGGATATTTGATCTCGTTTTTAATTATGTAATTTTTATTTGTTAATTATCACCCAAAACATGCAATTTAAATTTGGAAGAGTATTTCTTGTACTCCCTCCGTTCTCAAAAAGAGTTTCTAGTTTGACCAAATATAAAAATAAGGAAGTGCTAAATTGTACGGAGTAGTTGACTTCCAATTTTGCTCTTGATGTGATGAGCAAAAGTAAGATGTGATGGAAAAATTATTAGAGAAAAATATGATGTGATAGGTAGGATATGAAAAAGTAAGGGTAAAAATGGTTTTTTTAATAGAAAGTGGAAGTGTTTTATTAGAAGTGAAAAAAATGAAAAAAGAAAGTGTTTTTAAGAACAGAGGAAGTATATCTTTTGGTTTGTTTTTTAAATACTCCCTGCGTCCCAAAAAGAATGTCACATTTCCTTTTTCAATCATTAGGAAAATTTTGTTTATCTGTACATTTTCAGTGATTATTTGATAAAATAAAATATTTTTGACATATCTTATTTTGAAAAACAATTATGTAATTTTTAAATATGTAATTTTTTATTTCTATATCAATATTTAAATAAAATGAAATGATAAAACTTGATAATTTGCTCCATTTTACGAAATGTTGCAAATATTTTAAGACCGATCGGTATAAAAATTTTTAGATAAACGAAAATATAGGGATTTTTAGATAAACGAAAATATAGGGAGTACAAACATATAGATAAAATGATTTGATTATAGTATTTGTACAAAATCATCGATAGCACCGCAAAAAAACAAGAGGACTGAAGGAGTGTGTGACGCGTGTGTAATTTATACTCTCTCACGAAAATAGTTGCAGGATCCGTTACAATTTAAATTATCTCTCACAATTTATGATTAATATGAAATAAAATAAAATATTCTTGTCACCTCTTGTTTTGTTAAATTTTGGACGTAAATGTTTAGTATGTAGTAAATTTTATTAATTATTTTATACTCCCTCCGTTCTCAAAAACACTTCCTCTTTCATTTTTTCCACTTCTAACAAAACACTTCCCCTTTCTATTAAAAAATCACTTTTACCCTTACTTTTTCATACCCCACCTATCACATCATACTTTTTCTCTAATAATCTATCCATCACATCTTACTTTTACCCATCACATCCGGGGCAAAATTGGAAATCAATTATAATTTAACACTTCCTTATTTTTGCCCCCAAATCAAATGGGAAGAGTTTTTCCAAACGGAGGGAGTATCAATTTTTAAATTCATTGCTTTTAAAAAATTATACTCCCCTCCGTCCCTAAATAAAGTTCTTCTTTCGTTTTTTCTTTGTCCCTAAATAAACTTCTCTTTTCCCTTAAAAAACTCTTTTTACCCCTTACTTTTTCATACCCTACCTATCACATCATACCTTTTTACTACTCTACATATCACATCTTACTTTTACACATCACATCAACACATCAAGGGTATTTTTGGAAAGTCAACACAAAAATATTCCTCCCTTAAATCTTCAAAAAGTCAAAAATGGAACTTTATTTAGGGACGGAGGGGGTAATATTTTTTTCTCATATAATCTACGGAGTAATTTGGTACGGAGGATCTATAATATTTGCAAATTCTTTTGTGGTCTTCAGGTCTATATTTATTATATAAACCTTAAGATATGATGAAATGATTAAAATGTTTTGACCTTATAAAATGAAAGAGATCAAACTAAGAACTAATAAAAAATATTCCCTCCGTCCCAAAAAGAATGGGACGGTTTGACTTTTTGGGAAATTAAGGGAGTGATATTTTGGTATTGACTTTTCAAAAATACCCTTGATGTGATGGGTAAAAGTAGGATGTGATGGGTAGATTATTAGGAAAAATGTATGATGTGACTTTCCAAAAATACCCTTTATATTTCATACTTCCTCCGTCCCAAATTATTTGCCACATTTGTATTCCCGAAGCAAAATATCAAGTTTTTTCAATTCATTTTATTTACATATTGGTAAAGAAATAAAATATAAAATTTACATATAAAAAAACTACATGAAAAGTTCTTCGAAATAAGAGGTGTCAAAAATATTTTATTTTATCAAATAACCAATGAAAATGTCGAAATAAACAAAAGTTCTCGCAACTGTTGAAAAAACAAATGTTGTGAATATTTAGGGACGGAGGGTGTATGTATACACTAGGATCAGGATAACACAACATATATATATATATATATATATATATATATAGTGAACGTAGTGTATATGAGAGCAAATAAATAAACAAGTCATCTCCGGCCGGTGGATCTCTCTATCTCTATAGAGAAATAAATATATATATATATATATATATATATATATATATATATATATATAAAATGGATGGGAGAGAGTTGATGCCAGTGGTGGTTATGGTAATCGTGCAGTCAGGGTACGCCGGAGTTAATATCATCGCGACGGCGGTTATGGGCGCCGGAATGAATCCCTTCATCCACATAGCTTACCAGCAACTCTTCGCCACCCTTCTCATCTCTCCTTTTGCTTTTTTCTTTGAAAGGTAATACTCCACTCGTCCCTAAAAAAATGTTCTTGTTTCATTTTTTGTACATCTCATAAAATATTTTTATCTCGGCTCAAATGCCAAAAAAAACTTTCAAAACAACTTCTACCCAAAATAATGAAACAAGAACATCTTTCTGGAACGGAAGAAGTATAATATACTCCCTCCGTCCCCAAATAGATTACAATCTTTTTTTCTCTTTCCTCTCGATAACTTTTGTTTGTTTACAGGATTTCATCAAATATTTGATAAAATAAAATATTCTTGTCACCTCTTGTTTTGTAAAACTTTTGACACAGTTTTTTAATATGTAATTTTTATATCTTATTGATATGACAATTTGTAAATAAAATGATTTCAAAAAGTAGGAAATTTTGCTCCGTAACCCGCAATTTGTAATCAAATTGGGGACGGAGGGAGTAATATGCTAAGTGCTATTTAAGGAATAAAACAATTTAAGTGTTATTCAGAGAAATGACTTAAGTTTTAGTGCTATTTAATGTAAATATTCCCTCCGTCCCTAAATAAACTTCTTCTTTTGTTTTTTCTTTGTCCCCAAATAAACTTCTCTTCTCTCTAAAAAACCCCTTTTACCCCTTACTTTTTCATACCATACCTATTACATCATACCTTTTTACTAATAATCTATCTATCACATCTTACTTTTACACATCACATCAAGAGTATTTTTGGAAAGTCAAAAAAAAAATATTCCTCCCTTAAATCCTTACAAATTCAAAAATAAAAATTTATTTAAGGACGGAGAGAGTATTTCTTTAAAAAGACAATAGACGTTGGGCTGCCTTTTTTTCCTCCTTTTCATACTTCAACTTTATTTTGTTGGGCTCCCCTTTTTTCCTCCATTGTCCTTTCAATACTTCAACTTTATTTTTTAAAGATAGGAATATACGCGGACTACGGCTAGTTTTTAAAGATAGGAATATACGGAGTAGTTTTTAACTTTTATAGGCATCTTTTATTACATACTCCCTCCGTCCCTAAAAACCTTTCTCCTTTTTTTTTTCATCCGTCCCAAAAAACATTTTTTATTTCTATTAAAAAGTCACTTTTACCCCTTACTTTTTCATACCCTACCACCTATCACATCATATTTTTTTACTAATAATCTACACATCAAATTCTTCTTTTACCTATCACATGAAATGACATTTTTGGAAATTCAATACCAAAATACACTCCCCTTAAATCTCTTCAAAAAACAAAACATCACATATTTTATGGGACGGAGGGAGTATTAAAAATGTTAGAAAATCATCACTGATGTTCTCATTCCTTACAAATGATAATTATAGATGATTTATACATATATATATACACATACAAATTATCATTTGTAAATCCAGAAGATTACCGTCTGTATATGTATAAAATCACATATGATTGTAATCTGTGGGGGGAATTGTACATGGGTTCCTGGCATAATCCTTATTATGTACGAGTATCTCGGTATATATTGAACTTATGAGAGTAAAAGCTTTTGTGTGTATATTGCAGGAAAACGAGGCCAAAAATGACACTAAAGATATTTTTCCAGATATTTTTGTCGTCCTTCTTTGGGTACGTATATAGTACTCCGTATATGCAAATTCTATGGTGGCTTTTGGTCTACCATGAACCTACATATGAAAAAATAAGTATTTCTTTACTACTTAAATGAGTATTTATATTTTTAAATAAAAAATAAAAATAGAAATTTATCTGAGAAGGTCGACAAAATTGATATGCACCCAAGGTATGGTGCAGCAAATTAAAGAAGCACTCTCTAGTATATGGCTTACATTTTTTGAGCTCCACCCTCCACACTTCAATAATATCTTATAAATTATTTTAATATATTCTCGTATATAGTCTGTACGTCTACACACATCTTTTAGTTAAAATTTAAGTAAATCTTTGGAATAAAGTTTGCCTTAGCATTTTTTTCCCCATTTTTGATAACTTTGGCATTCTATTTTAACTAATCATTTTCATTATTATCATAAAATCTAATGTGTCATCATTATATCAGGCTAAGTGAATTAATTGTTGTGTTTAGAGAAATTCGTCCCAAAATTAAATAAAGTTAACAATTTTTTTTATTATTTCACGTGATTTTAGAAAAGTATGTATTGGAAAATAAAAAATACGTTATTTAAATTTATTTAGATGAGAACAAATGTTGTGAACAACACATGCACGCCACTGTTTTTTATAAATGGTTTATGTTAGAAAATTCATGCATTATTGTATAGAGATTTAAGATCCATGGAAGCTCTCTCTATTATCCTCACAATTAGGAATCTAAATGTAACGCGTTTAATTATTGGCATGGCTAAATGACATATTTGGTCATTTAAGTAGACTTTATTGAATGAAAATAGTAATTAAAAATTAAGCAACTTTAGTAATCTTTTTGAACTGTATATAAATTATCGAGAGCCTGAAATAATAACTTGATACTCCCTCCGTTCTCAAAAACACTTCCTCTTGCATTTTTTCCACTTCCAACAAAACACTTCCCTTTTCTATTAAAAAACCACTTTTACCCTTACTTTTTCATACCCTACCTATCACATCATACTTTTTCTCTAATAATTTATCTATCACATCTTACTTTTACCCATCACATCAGGGGCAAAATTGGAAAATCAACTATAATTTAACACTTCCTTATTTTTGCCCCAAATCCAAATGGGAAGTGTTTTTCCAAACGGAGGGAGTAGTAATTTAGGACAGATGGAGTATCTTACTCTTTTTTTTAAATAATCTTACTAAAATGTACTCCCTCCGTTCTCAAAAACACTTCTTCTTTCATTTTTTCCACTTTCAACAAAACACTTCCCCTTTTTATTAAAAACCACTTTTACCCTTACTTTTTCATACCCTATCTATCACATCATACTTTTTTTCTAATAATCTATCCATCACATCTTATTTTTACCCATCATATCAGAGACAAAATTGGAAATCAACTATAATTTTACACTTTCTTATTTTTGCCCCAAATCAAAGTAGGAAGGGTTTTTCCAAACGGAGGGAGTAGTAATTAATTCAGGTATTTAATATTATTAATTGGATGAATATTGACCCAAAATGGAAATGAGAAATATATATATATATATAAATGCAGCCTCACGGGGGATCAAACGGCATACTTTGTAGGGCTAAAGCACTCCACTCCAACCATTGCCACTGCTTTGGCCAACCTCATCCCAGCCATCACTTTTATTATGGCTGTCCTCTTCAGGTAATTATTATTTAGTTCATTTCTCATTGATTCCCTTTTTTATGCTCTTTTTTTAAATTATTTGAGGCCCCTTATTCTTGCACAAAAAAAATTATAACAATTTTATAACAATATAATCGAGTCACATATGATGTTCTATTCGTAAAATTAATTATTCTTACACCCTAACCCCTCTCGGTAATTAAACCCCCTAGCCCGATCATATCCCTAACGTACCCTTGCACCCCTTCCAATTGCACCACTTCTCATATTGTTGACTTTGTGGTCAATTTTTTGACCAAAGCGAAAGGTAGTACGTTTGGAAGGGGTGCACGTTAGGAAAGGGCTGGGCTGGGGTTGGAGTAGGAATAATTGATTTTACGAACAAAGTATTGTAGGAATAATCTTTGTAGTAAAGATTAATTAAACTCCCCTTTTTATATACTCCGTATTATTATTGATATTAACTACTCCCTCCGGTCCTAATAACACGGGATTTATTGAGCTTTAAGATATTTAAGGGGAGTGTATTTTGGTATTGAATTTCTTAAAAACTTCTTTGATGTGATGAGTAAAAGTAGGATTTGATGGGTAAATTATTAGTAAAAATGTATGATGTGATAGGTAGAGTATAAAAAAGTAAAGGGTAAAAATGACTTTTTGATATAAATAAGAAGTGTCTTTTGGGATGGATGAAAAAAAAAGAAAAAGGTTTTCAGAGACAGAGGGAGTAATTAACAACAATGATATTTATAATAATTATTATGATTAAATTTGTGGACAGACTTGAGAGTGTGGGAGCAAGAACGAAGGGCGGGAAGGCGAAGATATTAGGGACTGTGATATGCATTGGGGGTGCCATGGTGCTGACGGTGTACAAGGGAGGAGTGGTGATACGGCAGTCAAGCTTTAAATGGAAATATGCCCAAAATACTGTGGAAAAAAGCCATAACAGTAATTCATATTTGGGACCTCTCTTGGTCCTCCTTAGCATTTGCTCTTACACGGCCTTCCTAATTACCCAAGTAAGCCCCTTTAATTTAAGAGGAATTTACTTAAATAGCACTAAAACATAATGACTTTTCTTAAATTGAACCACATGTGTTTTTCTTCCCAATGTAGCACTTTTAGTCATTATGCATTAGCCATTATTTAAGTAAATATTCGCCATCACTGGACATTATTAAGTGCTATTTAAGAAATAAAACAATTTAAGTGCTATTTAGGGAAATGACTTAAGTTTTAGTGCTATTTAGTGCAAATATTTCTTAATTTAATCGAAACACACAATATAATTTATTTGTAGTTAAAGAGTGTTACCCAGGCAAAATCATCGAGAGTTCAAAAATATCCGTTTGCCAAATACAGTATTTGAATATCAAGTTTGTGGTTGTAGGCCTAAGACCGATGTTATACTCTAATATACCTCCTCACTTGCAAGCGAGATTTATTTTGCTAGAACCTTGTACATAAAAATTAATATTTGTTTTTAAATCGGGTGACAGTGGGGTTTAAATTTATGATCTTTTAGTCATCAAGGCTTTGATACCATGTTAAAATAATGAAACAATTGATTTACTCAAAAAATAATGGAAGACACAATAGTGTATATATAAGAGGCATTTTTAACATAGATAGAAATCATCAAATAGAATCACAATCAAATAATACTACCATAAATATTAGTATTCCACTAATATTATCACCAAATAGTTTTCATAGAGCAACCTAACACTTGTCCAAAATGAAACAATAATGGTAGTAAAAAGCTAATAAGTAAATAAGCATAGTAAAAAAAATTGCAAACGTTCACTAAATTTCATTTTCCCCATCAAGGTTATATATTCAATTCCTTACTTGGGTGTTAATTAGATTAATGGGAGGATTTTTTTTATATTTTTTTAAAAATAATAATTAAATATTTATTAGACAAAATTGGGGAAGCAATATGAAGCTCCATACTCCAGCACAGCTTTGGCATGTCTCCTTGCAAGTATTGAGTGTGTAACAATTGCCATAGCCATTGATCACAACATTTCTGATTGGGCTTTGACACCCATGAGAGCTGTCTCCACCGTTTACAATGTAAGATTTAATTTTACTCGTATTGAGTATTTTTTTTTTATGTTAATAAATAATAATCTTGTCACTATTTATTTTATAAAATGTTCGACACAATTTATTACCGGGGAATTTTCTCAAATAACACTAAAACATAATGACCTTCTCTAAACAGCATCATATGTGTTTTTTCCCAATGTAGCACTTTTAGTCATTGTCCATTAGTCATTATTCAAGTAAATTTTTGCGATTACTGGACATTATTCTTCCTTCTGGACATTATTAAGTGCTATTTAGGGAATAATACAGTTCAAGTGCTATTTATGAAAATGACTTAAGTTTTAGCGCAAATATTTATTTATTACCCATGTGTTTTAATAAATTAAAATGTCATAAAATAATCAATTCAAAAACTAATACTAGCTCCGTAATAATTACTACATCCGTCCTTTTGTGTTTCTCCGGTTTTGATTTTTTCCTCTTATACTTTTAATAAAATATACTTCATCGTCCCATAAAGCTTTTCTAAGACGAAAAAAGGCACACTCTAATAAATGTTTAATTTTGATATTATTTCCTAATTTTTCCCTTACTTCATAATAATGTAAGATTTGAAGTGTAGAAATGTAGAATAGATGAGTTATAATTAGAAAATAAATTCAAAATATACGGAGGACGGAGGAAGTATATATTTTATATTAATAAGATAGAAAAATATTTTGAAAATATTTTTTATAAGAATAAATCTAATAAAATTATTTTTGCATCAATTTCTAATATCAATTTTATTTAATTTAAAATCAAAATTTATCAATTCCGATCGAAAAAGTTAAAAGTAGACAAATACCGAAGGACGGATGAAATAATAATAATAATAATAATAGGAAAATGAAAGAAATTAAAAAATACAGGGGATAATGTATTCGGCAGTAGCAATATTCCTGACATCATGGTGTGTGGAGAAGAAAGGGCCTTTATATGTCGCCGTCTTCAACCCTTTGTTGCTCGTCCTTACTGCCATTCTCAGCTGGGCTTTTCTTCAAGAAAAAATCTTTACCGGCACGTAAGTTATTTAATTTAATAATTCATTGCATGCATGCATCAATAATTCCATGTAAAATTTGCACTAAATAGGATTAAAACATAATGATTTTCCCAATGTAAGACTTAAACTTTTTTATTCCCTAAATAGGACTTAATAATGACCTAGTAGGAGGAATAATGTCCAGTAATGATGGACATTTACTTGAATAATGACTACTTGATAATGACCAAAAGTCTTACATTAAGAAATAAAAACATATGGTCCTATATTGGGAAAGTCATTATGTATTAGTCCTATTTAGGTAAATTTCTCTAATTCCATTTGAGTTTTTACAATAATTTCAATAATTCCATTTGAGTTTTTACAATAATTTCCGATGTAACACTTTGATCAATAATATTTTTATTTATTTATAGATGTATCATAATAATATAATATTTGAAAACTATGTGTCAAAATGAATATCTGTATTTCTCAACAGTTTGTAATCAAAATTTTAAAAGTTTGTCCAAAAGAGTCGAACTGATGAAGATTTAATTCGTAGACGGAGGGAGTGTAATATTAGGGCTTAGCTAACAACATATACTCCATCCGTCACAAAAATATCGTTCCACTGCGAAAAACATGCAAAAAATATGATCCCTTTTAAAAATACTTTATTCACATATTGATATAATAATAAAAATAAAATTTACAAATAAATTTTAAAAATAAAAAGTGTGTTGATACTAATTTTCCAAACCACATAACTTCAGAAAATTATTTGGCCTATATAAAAATGTCATTTATATATTTATTTGGCCTACACTTTTTTTCTTCTTATTCTACTCAATTGAGAAAGAAAAAGATTCAATAATGTTTGTTTGTTTTTGTTTGTTGATAATTGCAGGGTGGTGGGGTCAATACTAATTGTGGTGGGGCTTTACGTTGTTTTGTGGGGCAAGAAGAATGAGTTGGGAGTGATTAAAGTAGAAGATGATGATAACAAATTGAAGGAAGCAGACAAAAGAGAGACTGACGAGTGCTAATAATTACTCCGTATTGAATTGCTTCTATTTTTAGGCACTTGGATTATTTGCTGGCTTTGCCCATGCATATATATATGCATGCAAGTTTTATGTGGATGGTCATCAATCCAACAAGCTAAGATATGTCAAATTATAATTGGCAAAAAAAATATACTAGGAACTTGCAACAAGTACTCCACGGATGATAATTAGAAATGATTTGTAAATTATACATAGACAGACGATAATTGACTGTTAATACAGATTATTATCGCCCGTATATACATAAAATAAATGTAATAATTGTGATTCATGGGGGAGCTGTATGTATTGAATTTAAAATTTGAGGCATTAATGAATTAAAAAAGACATGATGACTCATGTAACACAAACTTGTTGGTTGATGTGTCATTGTGTACGTTGCACACTTGCATGAGTTGCACCAAAGGCCTTTGATAGCTAGGGCACACCACCCCGGCCTATTAATAAGTAAATACATACACTTCTATTCGAAAAAAAAAGTTGTTTAATTTATTACTTCCTTTGTCCCACAAAATTTTTCTCTTTTCTTTTTTTCATTCGTTCAAAAAAGTCTTTCTCATTTCTCTTTTAATTTACTAATTCTTAACCTACCTATTATACACACTTTTTCATTATTAATCTACCCATCGCATCTACAATTACTCATCACATATATTCAAGGGTATTTTTGAAAAGTCGATCAATTCCAAAATACACTTCTTTTAAATCCTTTAAAAGTCAAAACGAGAAATGTTTTGTTGGACGGAAGGAGTAGTAATAAAAGAGTTTCTCTATTTTTAAATAAAATAAAGAAAAATTTGCTCCATATAGAAGTGAAAGGTAGTACGTTTTTCTGAATAGGATTAAGTATATTTTATTTTCTTTATGACACATATTTTCGAATGCTTTGTCATATATGTCCTCATTAGCAATAAATACTAGATAATGACTAATTATACGAATCACTCTACGAATATTGTTATCAGAAAGAATTGTTGGATAAAGACTGGTTATTTCAATAATTATTGTTGGAATATTGGAATAATAATATTGCTCCTTGAATTATGAAGTACATGATAGAGTATATATATAGGAGAGACTCCTAACACAACTAGGAATAGAGAATGGAAACTAACTAACATACAACATCTACCACAAATAGGATTAGGAAGCTGACTAATAATGAAACACTACAATAACCAATACTACAAGAAGTACTATTACTATTATTGTCTAACATCCCTCCTCAAGCTGAACTCTGCCTGAAGCAAGAGGAAGCTTGGACACTAGCGGGAAACTGGAAACTTTGAGAAGAGAGAAGTCTGACGTGCGCCGGTGGCTGCTGACGTCGTTGGAGAAGAGAGAAGTCTGACGTGCGCCGGTGGCTGCTGACGTCGTTGGAGAAGAGAGATGTCTGACGTGCGCCGGTGGCTCCTGACGTCGTTGGAGAAGAGAGAAATTGACGTGCGCTAGTAGCTGCTGACGTCGATGAAGAAGAGAGAAGGTTGACGCGCGCTTGTAGCTTCTGACGTCGAAGAAGAATAGAGAAGGCTACTGGAGGTGCCTGTTTGACTGAAGATCCTTGACATTTTTTGTCTTCTTCTTGGATCCGGGCAATGCCCTATTTCCTTCTTGAAGAGGTGAGTTGTGGAGGTCTTGTTTTCTCTTTCACTACTTCACCTCTTGGCTTTGCTTTTGTGATGATTTACTTTGGATTTTTAATGGTTCAATAGAAGAGAAAGAGAAGGGAGGTTGATGATTAGAATGAGTGATTTTAGAGAGAAAAAATAGGTTAAGAATTGGTGATGGAAAAAAAAATTAGGTCTGAGATTTTGATATGGTGAATTGGAGAGAAACAACAATCATTTTTTTTTCCTTTTTTTGAGAAGATAGGATGATCTGAGAGATTTTGTGAGGAGTTGGGATTTTTTTTTGAAGAACCATGAAGATGACAAGAGAGAAGTTCCTCCTTTGATAGTTTTTTTGTGTGATTTCAACAGAGTTTTTTTTTCTTTTTTTTCATTTGAATGAAGAAGTTGATTTGAGGATAAAGAAGGAAAAGAAAATAGAGGTGAATAGGGTGGAGCCGCCGTCGCCGGAATTACCGGCGGCGGCGGTGGGAGCAAAGAACTTTTTTTTTAGGTCACCAAGAGCGGTGGCTCTGATACCATGTTGGAATATTGGAATAATAATATTGCTTCTTGAATTATGAAGTACATGATAGAGTATATATATAGGAGAGACTCCTAACACAACTAGGAATAGAGAATGGAAACTAACTAACATACAACATCTACCACAAATAGGATTAGGAAGCTGACTAATAATGAAACACTACAATAACCAATACTACAAGAAGTACTATTAGTATTATTGTCTACAGTATTATTTTTAATGTCTTATGCTACTTAAAATGTGTAATAGGTTATTTTTTCTCTCAGGGAAGCGTGTTCATAAACGTTTAAATATGGAGTCTCTCCATGAATTGTGACGCATGAGGCAACACAAATTGAATAAAATTTGCGTGTTCAGGAGAATACTTGTACCAAATTGATGGATAAACGTTTAAATATGGAGTCTCATTCGTTCCAATTGAATAAAATTGAATGCAGTCGAAATTTTTTTAGTAAAATTAGGTGAAATTAATTGATATTCATTCAATTTTACTTCTAAAAACTATTGCAATGAATGAGATTGAATACAAATGAGTGCTAAGTTTAGTAAAATTATTTGAAATTCAATCAATCTTATTCTTAACTTGACAAATTTGAATACAATTGCGTTAAATTGAAGGGAAATTAGGTAAAGGAGTAAATTACTCAAATAGGACGAAAACACAGTAGTTTTCCTTAAATAGGAGTAGTCCTATTGGGATTATGTTTCATGAGGGCAAAGGACAAAATTAACCCTACGGTCTATTTAATATACTCCGTAGCAATAATCCCAAATCCCTTTTTTTTATTTCCAAAGAAACAAATACTCCTTCCGTTCTTTAAAACCCTTCCGCCCTAAATTTTTGCGCACCTCATTAAACGTTTTTACTCCCACCTTAAATATCTAAAATATACCCCACTATGTAGTTTATTGCGGGTAGAAGTTGTTTTAGGGGTATTTTAGACATTTTAGATGGGATAGAAATATTTTATGGGATGCGCAAAAAATTAAAATGGAAGTGTTTTGTGGAACGGAGGGAGTAAAAAAAACTCAATCCCAAATTGAAGGCTTATTTTACGGCGGCTGAAAAGGAAGAAACCCAAATACCAATTACCAGAGCTCCTTTAACAAGGTCTATATCGTTCATTACATGCACTTCAATCTTTTATTTGAATCAAAATTTGGGTAATTTCATTCAAGGTGAAGTACTTAGATCTGCTTTGAAGAAATTTGGAGAAGTAAAGTTGAGGAAGGCAGGATATTTAATGGCGACTTGCTTCGAGCACAAAGATTAATAATCCGCCTTTGACCATACAACTATGCTGGTGAGGCCTTATCTAGGGTTTGTAAATACTTTAATTTATTGTTTAGTTTCAATTACTGATAGGGAGAGTATAAAAGTATAATTAACCATTGTGAATTAAAGAAAGTAAGGTCTTTATGACAGTGGCGGAGCCAGGGAAGACTTCTTGAGGGGACAAAAATTCATTTAATAAATAAACAAAATTCATAATAGTAACTACCATAATTGGTAAAGTGCAATTCAACATACCTTCTATAGAAGAAGAAGTTTCTTTTTCATTGTCTTTATCACTTACAAATTCTAAATTCTTCTTTTGTTAATAACAAATTTATCCATCTCACGTCTCAAAATTTCCTGATTCAATAATAAAGTAACAAAATAAAATATATATCAATAACATTAAAATAATAATTCGTATATCTTAATCTCTAGAACTTAAAATTACATTAACATTTTTCAAATATTGAAATATCAACAAACACACTACGACCACGGAACAAAATAAATATTCAAAATTCAAAACCTAATTTAGCAATATTCAAAACCTTCAAATATTAAGAAACAAATCTCAAAAATTAAAATTTACATATAATACCTAGCAATGAGAGAAGATGAAGAAGCACAAAAAAGAGCTCGAATCTGCCTTCAGCCTTCGCCCTTCTGGTTTCGGTCCTTCAGGCAGTGGCGGAGCCCTTCTGGAATGTGGAGCAGTGGTCTTCCGTTTTTTGTTCAATCCTCATCCTCCTTTTGTTTTTAATTTTTTGGGCATTTGGAGATTTGGGCTACTGGGCCGTGGATTGTTGGGCTGGGTCAAATTAATTTTTTTAAACCCATTCACCAAAACGACGTCGTTTCGTTTTGGTGATTTTTTTCTTCCGCAGCAGTTCATCTTCTTCGCTGGACCTGTCTGCCGCCGGGAGTTCTTCGCTGCGAGTCTGCGATCTGGGGGGGCAAATCCGGCCTCTCGTCGCCGTGGGTACCATATTCCTATTTCACCGGAATTTTCCCGGGGGGCACTTGCCCTGGCATGCCCCCCCCCCTCCTCCGCCCCTGTTTACTTTATGTATGGTTGTGATAAAAAAAGATAGCCTTAACTGGTTTCATTTAGACATCCTGCATGCGCATAATGTCTTCGTAATAATTTAGACATTATAGTGATAAGAGCATTGTGCATAGAGAAATTTATCTAAATAAGACTAAAACATAATGATTTTTCATTTTTATTTCCCAATGTAGGACTTTTGGTCATTATCAAGTAGTCATTATTCAAGTAAATATCTATCATTATTGGACATTATTACTCCCGGCCACTAGGTCACTATTAAGTCCTATTTAGAGAATAAAAAGTTTAAGTCCTACATTCGAAAAGTCATTATGTTTTAGTCCTATTTAGTGCAAATTTTACTTGTGCATAAGCCTCATTTAACTGTTGCCCTTAAAGGTAAGATAAACATTTTCCATAAAAATTTTGCATTGATAAGGCATTAAAGTAAGAATTTAGTCATTATTATGACATAATAAATTTTGCATTAAAGTGTTAAGGTGTTATCCACTGTCCCTCTAAGTGTATATTGCCTCAATTCTTTATGTGGAATTTATCTAACTAAAATATAATGACTATCTCAATATAAGATCATATGTTTTTATTTCCCAATGTAAGACCATTGGTCATTATCCATTACCGATGGCTATAAACCACCGAGAGTATGAAATAATACAAGTTTTTAGAGAGAGAGAATGCAAAGTAGGAGTATCTTGATTTCAAATTCGGATCCATTACAATGAGGGGTGCCACCCCTTTTATAGGGGGTACAATACACTAAGTCAAAGCCCTCTGATCGAGGCTCGTCGTTTAGCGGACGTCACCTGTCCTTAGGTCTTGTCCATTTCATCATATCGCTTTCATCAAGTCTTCGTTGAACGTCGCTTTCCTCACGTCGTTGTCGCGGGGTTCGGGCTCGGCTTGGTTGGCCGAGCTGAGCAAGAGGGACGAGCGGAGCACAGAGAAGACGAGCGGAGCTCTGGGCCGGGCAGGAACGCCCAAGCCCGATACTTAGGAAATTTATGCTGATGTCAGCCCTAGGCTGGTGTGGGGTTATTCCCCATCAATTACCATTGGTCATTATCCATTAGTCATTATTCAAGTAAATCTCTCATTAGACATTATTAAGTATTCTAAAGTCCCTTGTATCGTTGGTTAGTACTGCATTGATGGTTGGCTTAGTCACTAGTTGTTGGGACTAGTTTTAGATATTGTTTTTTTGGTGCTAAATATTTTTCTTAAATGTTAGCCAAGGCAATAAAATTGGATATATTATTGTGTTGATAATGGCTTTTGCACCTGAGCAAGGGCCAAAACTAAGGACAATTTGTTTTGCTTTCTATTATGGTTATTGGTTCGTAATATTTTATTGGGCTTTCTGGTGTTGATTTCATACTTTGGCATTTGGTCCTTAAAGTCTTGGTTTAAATTAGGGATTATTCTGGCTTTTGGTTTTGCTTTAAACTTCCTCTAGGGATTTTGGTTAAGTCCTATGTTCTTGTAAGTTTCTTTCTAAATTGTACTCCGTAGTAAACTGTTTATTTCTGTAAAAAAAATTAGAAAAGTAAGTAGAAGGAGAGTGGCGAAAATGAATTGTGAAGTAGTGATCTGTAATGTAACAAGATATTTGATTTATATGGCTGATCGTGATGAGATGATGATACTATTTACTTGAAAAATGACCTATGTAGTGTAAAAATAGCTTCAAAATGTCCTACATAATGACCTATGTAGTGTAAATTTACAACCACAATGACATTATGTTATGGGCTAATGACTTCAAACTAAAGAGACCATGAAATTAGTTTATGGGTAAGGACAATATAGAAACCTAGAAGACAAATAGATTAATTGACTTTAGACGATTGTATAATCAACGATGGAATTATAATCTACTACCACGTGAATCAAGGTATGTAACAAGAATTAAAAGACTACGTCAAGAATTAAGTACTCCCTCCGTCCCTAAATAGATTACAAATTGCGGGTTACGAAGTAAAATTTCCTACTTTTTGAAATGATTTTATTTACAAATTGGTATATCAATAAGATATAAAAATTACATATTAAAAAACTACGTCAAAAGTTTTATAAAATAAGAGGTGACAAAAATATTTTATTTTATCAAATGCTTAATGAAATCGCGTAAACAAACAAAAGTTATCGAGATGAGAGAAAAAAATTGCAATCTATTTAGGGACGGAAGGAGTATGTACTAAAAAATCATGTTTACTATTCTCCCTTCTAAAAAGAAATGCCCTAGTTTGTCCCAACCTGAAGTTTAAAAAAGAGTGAATTGCGTAGTAAAAAATAATGAAGTAAAAAAAGAAAAAAAAATATGAATCAAATTTTTTTTAAAGATAGAATAAGAAGTTTTACGCCAAATTTTATTATTTATTTGATAAAAAAATTTGTTTTCAGTTACGTGTTACGTTGTTTAACTAAAGTTGTTTTCAATTCACTTTTTCAAAAAAAATTGGTGTAAAACTTAAAAATAAAAGTATATACATAAAAATTATACGGAGTATCAAAAGTTCTACAAAACTTAAGCAAAAATGTTTTAAAAACAATAAATGACATTATTATACTCCGTATTATTTTAAAAGTAATAAAAATTGGCAAAACAGAAAGCAAAATATGTTGAGGAGCAAGAAGAAAGCAATGCCGAGGAGAAATAAAATGGTAAGGCAAAATCTGATGAGGGGAGATAAATTAGGGATTGTGGAGTAATATATATATATTTTCCCTAAACTATAGGCGTAAATAATGGCTAATTAACCCATAATTATGTAAATAAAATATTTATAGATAAAAAAAACTGCAAAGGAGCGTTGGTTTTTTCCACACAAGTAATCGCCTAGAATTTAGGGGCAGGAAAGGAATTTTTTTAAAAAATAGTCTTAGAAAAGGAAAAAAACATTATTAGTCCTATATAGGGAAAACTAGTACTCCCTCCGTTCTCAAAAATACTTCCTCTTTCATTTTTTTCACTTTCAACAAAACACTTCCTCTTTCTATTAAAAAACCATTTTTACCCTTACTTTTTCATACCCTACCTATCTCATTATACTTTTTCTCTAATAATCTATCAATCACGTCTTACTTTTACCAATCACATCAGGGGCAAAATTGGAAATCAACTAATAATTTAACACTTCCTTATTTTTGCCCCCAAATCAAATGGGAAGGGTTTTTCCAAACGGAGGGAGTATGTTTTAGTCTTATACTCAACAAATTTTACTAGGTAAAATTGAATAAATTTTTATGTACATAAACCAATTTGATGAAATACAATAAATACGAGTTCTTATCAAATGTATACAGAGATAAAAACTAACTTAGAATAATGTTTTGTTCCCAATCAAATATAACTGAGTCTAATGAAATGAGAATTAATTCAAATTAATGAAATGAAAATTATTCTAAATTAGTAAATGATATTCATTCTATTTATGTCCAAAAATTGTTTCAGTTGGTTTAGATTGAATATAATTCGTTGAAAGTTGAGTGGAATGATATAAAATTATATATAATGTGGTTAAAATGTGTTCAAAATGGGTAGAATTAGACAGAGTTAAGTAAAATCAGAGCAAACGTTTGGCCAACCACACTACTGAGGGCTGCTGTTTGAGAAGGGAATGAGAAATTATTTTTTAACTGTGCTCTTTTTGTATAAATTTTAACATGATATTTTCTAATGTAAGTTATATTTTTTCATTTTATATTAATTTATAAATAAAATAATTAAAATACATGAAATTTTTTATGGGAGACACACCAAAGTAGGACTAAAACATTGAAAATATATCAAAATATGACTTCCATGTTTTTTTTTCCGAAATAGGACTTACATTACCAAACATGGTCATATACATTACCAAAAAAGTATAGTAATGTGCACATGTACACTGCCACATTACCACATGACAAAGTTACATTACCACAGTGCAAAGTCCTATTTCGGGGAAAAAACATGAAAGTCCTATTTTGGTACTTTTCTCTATATTTTAATCCTATTTAAGGTGATTTCTAATTTTTTATTTTGTTTAGATATGATAGTTCATTTTGGGACGTAGGGGTAAGTAACATAAGAATACGACTAGTTCAAATGGTAAAATAAAAATCAAAATTTGAATTCACATGAATGTAATTGTTCACTAATATACAAAAATATTACTCCTTCCGTCCGGGAATGATGTTCCCATTTAGACTTTTCCTCATTTTTAAGAAAGTTTGACTTAATGATTGAAGAGACTAAAATGCCCTTTCAATGCCCCAATCCAAAATACAGACCTACAATTACCACTGCACCAAACAGAACTGATACCCACCGCCAGCCCCGCTGTCTGTCGCCACCACCACGGCTCAGCTCCGTCACCGCCAGTTCTTCCACGCCGACAGCCGCCAGCATCTCCTCCAATCGCCACTACCATCAGGTCGAGAACGCTCATAAATCTAATTGGGCACGGATTTAATTGGAAAACAGAGAAAATCAAAAGAAGAAAAAGAACAAGGGGGAGGGGCAACGATAGAGAGAGAGAGAGAGAGCAAGAATAGAAGATGGAGTAGATGATGGCCAGATCTGCCCAGAAAAAGAAGGGATGAGAAAAAATAGAGAATAAGATTGGGGAGGGGGAAGAGAGACAAAGAGAGGAGAAATTTATTGATTTGGCGAAGAAGAAGAAGAAGAAGAAGAGGAGGAGGAGAAGAAAGCTGGAAAAGAGGGAGGAGGGGAGAGAGAGTGAAAAAGATGGATAAAAATGGAGGGGAGAGAGAATGGAGTATTTGGATGAGGGGTATTTTTGGAAGGATTGATATGAAAACGTAGAGTGAGAACATCATTTCCGGACGAAAAAAAACGTACAATGGAAACTTCATTTCCGGACGGAGGGAGTAAATGTTTATTGTTTTTAAGAGAAGATCTATTTGTTTGTAAATCTTTTTCTAATGTACGGAGTAATTCATTTTCTAATTTGTATAGTTTTAGAGTTCGCTAGGGCCGCTTAAATAATACGGAGTATTACTGGGCCGAAAGGAAAATTTAAATACGGGCCTTAATTCATCAATCCTTTTTTTTTCTTTTTATGTTTTCACATCTAGAATCATGTTTTCTTCAATGAAGGATAATTAGTTGATTACCGAAATTAAAAAAAATCAATTTAAAATCAGAATCGGAACAATACAACAAAATTTTTGAGCCAATGCAACCACACACACATATATCTATATGATGGATTAGGGATTTTTCCTAATCCAATATTATTTGAACAGTACAAGAAAGCCCAATTTTATCTGGCCCAAAATATAAATCAGATAAATAATTCAAGACAGAACCAGAGATATATGGACAGAAGAATATATTTGAGGTGATATAAAAATATTCCGTGGAGCCCATTTACAAAACATGTGCACATGGAGGTGACATGGCCACCTCATGGCATTGTTGGGGATGCATGCATGTACTCCCCTTTAAATACAAGGCTACGCAGGACGGAAGGGGGGAGGCCAATGCTAGATTCATACAAGTTCCTACTACTATATTCTTCATTCTTCTTCTTCTTTTAGCTTGGAGCTCCATTAATGACTCCAAATTCCTACAATGATGTATATGTAAACTCCCCCGAGATTAATAAAAGTTCTTCCCCCTTTGGCATGGCACCGCCTAAAAAGGCCCGTGGTTTTCTCCCGATTTGGGTTTCCACGTATAAATACTTTCTCTCTGCTTTATTTATTTACTTAATTTCCGGATTTCGCTATTCGGTGCGGTGCCAACCCGGTACCGATTTCATCGGGTCGATGCCCCGAAAAAGCGGTTTCCATCACTATATATCTATATACACACACACACATATATACATATATGTTATTTTCGAATTAAAATTTAATTATTTGTGATCCTTTTTTATCATATCTCATTTATCAATCTATCATGAATAATCTTCCATATTTTATTTTTTGGTCATATTTTATAAATTTTGATTATGAATTATGAAAAAATATATTTAGTAATTGTTAAAGGAAAGAGAATATTTAGTAGAATATTTAGAGATATTTGTGTATATATTGTTTTGGTAGTTTTCCTTGTATAGGGATTCTTTCCTTTTCCTTTTCCTTTACTTATTAAGAGTCTCAATTTGTGAGATCCTATATATAGGTCCTCATTGCAAATTGTAAACACAAGAGAGAAATACAGAAAATTTCCTCCCAAACAATTCTTCAGTAATAATATAATTTTAATATAATTGTATTGATTTTAACATACAATTTTGAAATATTAAATTTTTATAACTTCTATTGTCTTTATTTTTATCTATGCAAAAGATAAAAGATAAATTTCAATATTGTTTCGTTCCAATTGAATAAAAGTGAATGCAATTGGATAAAGATTCAGTAAAATTAGGTGAAATTAATTATGTTCATTCAATTTTACTTCTAAAAACTATTGCAATGAATGAGATTGAATACAAATAAGTGCTAAGTTTAGTCAAATGATTTGAAATTCAATCAATCTTATATATTCTTAACTTGACAAATTTGAATACAATTACGTTAAATTGAAGGGGAATTAGGTGAAATTGAGTAAATTTGGTTGAAATTACATAAAATTAAATCCAATTTGATGAAATTTAATAAATACAAGTTCTTATCAGTCTGTTTGACTAGCCTCACTCAAGTGTCATTATGACTACCAAGAAGACTAATCCCATCCATGACCTGTCTATAATCTATTATCTATTATCTGTCGATAATTCCTTAACTAAATATTGTCTTTGTAGTAATAATTATGAAATTTGTGAGAAAGCCATTCAAAACGCTCTTGGAGGGCGAGGTAAGGTCAAATTTCACACATTTACGGGAGTACCAAAAACTCGAGAATGAATTTTTGAGAGAGAGGGAGTATGTAATAAGTAGATTTTTAATGGAGAATTTTTACTTAAATAGGACTACAACATACGGAGTAATGATTAGTTGAGATTTAAATGTATGTATCGTTTTAGGAAAAATTAAAAAGATTATTTTGAGAGTTAAGGTTTCTAAATAATACTCCCTCCGTCCCAAAAAGATTTACACGTTTCAAAAAAAATTGCATCCCACAATCTCTTACCTATTTCTATTAAAAAAACTACTTTTACCCTTACTTTTTCAAACCCTACCTATCACATCATACCTTTTTTCTAATAATCTACATATCACATCCTACTTTTACCATTACATACATCAAGGGTATTTTTGGAAAGTCAACACAAAATTATCGCTCCCTTAATTTCAACTTTAGTCAAAATGGGTAACACTTTATGGGACGGAGGGAGTAGCTTACTCTAAAAAATATTTCTTAAGGGGAATTTACTTAAATAGCATTACAACATAATGACTTTCCTTAAATAGCATCACATATGTTTTTCTTCCCATTATAGCATTTTTAGTCATTATGCATTAGTCATTATTTAAGTAAATATTCACCATCACTGGACATTATGGATATTATTAAGTGCTATTTAGAAAATAAAAAAGTTTAAATGCTATTTATGGAAATGACTTATTCAAAAGGAGCTGTCTCGATGAATCTAGATGTCTTATTACGGCACCGGACGAGCATGACCGTAGGAAAAAAAATTTGAAGACGAGCATGACTATAGTGTCATTCATTTGCACATTCGTTGCTATGATTAATTATGTACTAGTAGTATATATTACTTGGTATTATTCTATTATCTTGAGTACATACACATGCACAATATAGGAAAACAGAGCTTATATTTTTAACATACATATATAAATACACATATATACTCCCTCCGTCCCATAAAACATTTCCCGTTTCAAAAAAGGCGACTCTTAAAATGAGTAATTTTGGTGTTATTTTCTAATTTTGCCCTTACTTCTTAAAAGAGTATGATGAGATGTGTAGAATAGATTAGTCATAATTAAAAAAATAACACTGAAATTACTCATTTTAAAGGCGTGCCATTTTTAAAAACAGGAAATGTTTTATGGGACGGAGGGAGTACATAAAAACCTTGATCCAAACCAAACACTACGCCGCTGATAATGGACTAATGGTCGTCAGATTCCTACCATCTGCACTTGTGACCACCTCACGGCTTTCGCCGCCATCTAATCCATAGGTGGCGTAGACACCATTATTATTATAGCTGATGTTCTTAGGAGAGTGGCTGTTGTAATCGAGACTTGGTTCATTGTAGATGTCCCACCACATGTTCACGAGCACCTTGATCTCATCCCGGCCCATCTGATCTTCCTTCCCGGTGTACCGCCACGGCTTGGCGCCGTCGGCGCAGTAGTGGACAACTTTGGCTTTGGTGAGCTCCACTTTGTCAGGGTGGCGCCACAGCATGTTCACTAGCATGTTGTAAACGTATGGGAGTCGCTTGCACTTGTCTTTGAAGAACATGTTTAAGAAGTCCTATATATAATAATGTAGTAACAAGCTTTGAAACTGCATACATGTTGGCCGGCTTGATAAATATAGCCACTTTACCGTAAAATTTCATACTCTCCCCCCGTTCTCAAAAACACTTCCTCTTTCATTTTTTTCATTTCCAACAAAACACTTCCTCTTTTTATTAAAAAATCACTTTTACCCTTACTTTTTCATACCATGCCTATCACATCATACTTTTTCTCTAATAATCTATCCATCACATCTTACTTTTACCCATCACATCAGGGGCAAAATTGAAAATCAACTATAATTTTATACTTCTTTATTTTGTCTTATAGTCAAAGTGGGAAGGCTTTTTCCAAGCGGAGGGAGTATGTTTTAATTCTATGAATTAATTAGTATGACTTTCATAGATTTATATCCATTGGCGGATCTATAGCAAAACAATGGGGGGCACATGCCCCCAATCAAATTTTATAATTATTCATTGATTTCTTTGGTAAATTTAATGGTGCCCCCATTTAAAAATTTGTGGTGCCCCCATTTATTTTTTTTAAATTACTACGTCTTCATTTTTTAACCTTCATCTTAAATAAAAGTAAATTTAGTATACAAAATTGTCTATTTTGTACATTGATAACATGCATTTCAGTAGTAATTATATTTCATTAAACACATACGGAGTACATATATCTTACTTGGTTCACTCGAGTGTGCATACAAATGCCGTTTACTCTGGTTAAATTTTTTACTCTGTAATATTTATATAATTTTTTTCAAAAGTTATACTAATTTGTTACAACAAAATGGTAAATGTTCAAGTTTTGCTCATTAAACATTAGTAATTGTTTGAATATGTAATTAGACTACTATAAGTAATACGAAGTAATATACTCTATAAATTACTTCCTCCAGTCCTAAAAAAAGAAAAGGAGATGTTTCTTTTTTCATTCGTCCCAAATAACACTTCTTATTTTTATTAGAAAGTCACTTTTACCTCTTACTTTTTCATACCCTATCTATCACATCATACCTTTTTACTAATAACCTATTAATAAAATCTACTTTTACCCATTACATCAAAGGACATTTTTGGAAATTTAATACCAAAATACATTCTCCTTAAATCTCTTCAATATCAAAACATTCTACTGAGTATGTTTTTAGGACCGGAGGGAGTATATTTTACTCTGCACCCGAGTACCATGTTAGAACAATTTCATTTTAACTACTCCCTCCGTCCCTAAATATACTTCCCTTTTTGACTTTTTGAGGATTTAAGGGAGAGATATTTTTGCTTTGACTTTCCAAGAATACCCTTCATGTGATGTGTAAAAGTAAGATGTGATATGTAGATTATTAGTAAAAAGGTATGATGTGATAGGTAGGGTATGAAAAAGTAAGGGGTAAAAAGAGTTTTTTAAGGGAAAAGAGAAGTTTATTTGAGGACAAAGAAAAAATGAAAGGGAAAGTTTATTTAGGGACGGAGGGAGTATTTCATTCACTGCTTCAAATGATACATATTACTCCCTATATATTTTTGATTTTTTTTCCTCTTACACAGTCTCTTGAATTTTTTTTACAACAATACCTCCCGACCCTCGTACTAAGGTAAGGTGCCCCCAGTCATTATAATTTCTAGATCCCCCACTGTAATTACATCCATAAATAGTCCTCATTATCATTAAATTTGGTAAATACGGAGTAGTATTTTCGAACTTTCAAAATTTTTGAAATACGTGCATATTATGCAAAAATGTGTACTATGAAAAAATATCTAAAGGAATTACGGGCCATAATATGCACGTGTTTTGTACTCCCCCGTTCCAAAAAGATTTACACCTTTTAAAAAAATTGCGTCCCACAATCTCCTACTCATTTCTATTAAAAACCCACTTTTACCCCTTACTTTTTTAAACCCTACCTATCACATCATACCTTTTCCTTATAATCTACACAACATATCCTATTTTTACACATCAAATCAAGGTTATTTTTGGAAAGTCAATACAAAATTATCCATCCTTTAATTTTCACTTTAGTCAAAATGTCTAAAACTTTTTGGGACGGAGAAAGTATAAATAGCATATTGGGTATGAATTATATCTGGACAATTGACTGAAGACATTACGGGCCATTATGAAAAAATGTCCAGAGGAATACCTTGATAAATGAAGTAGGCCAAAACATTCTCCAACACCGTCATAAACTTTAAGATGGGTAGAGAGTAGTCTTAAAACATTTGAGATGAACCATATTAAAAACTTGAATTCAATCAATTACCTAATTTAACTCAAGAATTTGTGAACCCTATATTTTTTTCTTCAACATATGATGTGGGACTCTTATAGAAGTGTTGTTTAGAGAATGTAAAATATGTAATTGATAAATTGATAAAACTAATTTTAAAATGTTTTATAAGATAAATGTGATAACATTATTTTTGTATCAATGTTAAAAATTATTTTTATTTAATTTATGGTCAAAATTTATTAATTTTCGTTTAAAAAATTAAATTTGGACAAATACTAGACAGAGATTGTATATAATGTAAAGTGCTATTAAGTAATTTTTATAGCATTTAGTATATTCTCCTTCATGTAATACTTTGGTAATATATTCTCTATGTCCCAAAAAAATTTCTTAATTAATAAAGATTGGATTTAATTAAAAAATGTATAATTTTGGTATTACCTTCTAATTTTGTTTTTACTTTATAATAGGGTATAAGATAGATGTAATTAATGAGTAAATTAATAATGAATACTCCTATATATTACTCCTATAAATTTAGGGGAAGAATATTTTTGTATTAACTTCTAAAAATACACTTGATGTATTAGAAAAAGTAGGATGTGATAAGTAGATTATTAGTAAAAAGATATGATATGATACATAAATTAAGAACTAGAAGGATAAAAATGATTTTAATATAAAAGAAAAAGATTTTGTGGAACAAGAAAATAGGAAAAGGAATTTTTGGGAGAGATGGAGTATGTAATAGGTAGGTTTTTAATTAGGAGAGCTATTAAAGAGTTTTGGTTGTTCCTTTTTTGTACGAACAAAAAAGTGAAGGTGTGATGATTTTTTGGGAACATGCCTTTAAACATAGAACTTCTAGGTGAATAAAAAAAGTTGGAATGCCCACCTTCACTTCTACACTAATTGTGAGGCGTTAAATCATGTTATAATCTTAGCTTAGTCCTAAAAAAGATCGTCACGTGTCCAGTGTACATAAGAAGTTATTACAAAGAATATGACTCTCACGCTGCGAGAGTCGGGATTTGATCTTAAGAACTTTGAGCTTGACATCCTTCCAATCCCTTAGACCAACTAAGGGACCCATGCATCTTTGGGCCGGACATCCTCCCTTAACCTCCTCCCACACTTCTAGGTGAATAAAGTTTTGATAATTGATGGCTTTCAAAAGTTTTAGTCCATACACTCTAAAACGTAAAAGAAAATTTGCTCCATATAGAACTAAAACTAAAAGGTGATAAGTTTTTCTGAATAAGACAAAATATATTTTATTCCATTTATGGAACATAATTCCACATGATCTGCTATATATGCCTTCATTAGAAATAAGTGTTCGATAATGACTGATTATACGAATGATTCTACGAATTGAATGTGGTCATTAATTAGCAACACGTGTATAATAATGACTGATTATTTCAATGACTATTCAAATTATTTTTAATAATGTCTTATTCATGCTTGAATTATGTAATAAGTCACTTTTTTAAAGACATGACATATCATTTTAGAATTTTTCATTGCCAAACATTAGAGTAGATATGATTGGTCATATTTAGTGAAAAATTATATGTTCAAGTCTCATTTACATAAATTACTGAAATATAAATACTCCCTCCGTCCCGTAAAACATGGGACTTTGGCTTTTTATGAGGGATTTAAGGAGAGTGTATTTTGGTATTGAATTTCCAAAAATGTCCTTTAATGTGATGGGTAAAAGTATGATTTGATGGATATATTATTAGTAAAAAGGTATGATGTGATAGGTAGGGTATGAAAAAGTAAGGGGTAAAAGTGACTTTTTAATAGAAATGGGAAGTGTTTTTTGGGACGGATAAAAAAAAGAAGAAAAGTTTTATGGGATGAAGGGAGTATATAGTAGGGTGTACCTACCTGCTCGGCGAAAGCAGTGGGAGGGGTGACTTGGAAACACCTCAAAAGGCTTCTGTAGGTGCAGAGATTTGGTTCGAACACAAACATGCCGCCGTTGAAGTAAAAAGACGGCCTGGGCCCCAGCAAGGTTTCCGGCCACGGGAGCGCCTCCGGGCACGGCGGGCCGTGCTCCTCGCACACGCAATCCGGCGCAGCGTATAAACACCCGTCCGGCAGATCGAACAAGTGGTCTATGTTTTGGAAGACTTGCATGTCCGCATCCAAGTATATCATTTTGCTATACTCCACAAACTACCAATCAAAACACAAAAATTAAATCCTTAAATTAAACTCTTATTTTAAAAAAATTAAATTATTAAATGGGTAATTTACGTACGTAAATAGAACTAAAATATACTACCTCCGTCCTGAAGTATTCGTCCACTTTTGACTTTTAGAACTGTTTATTTAAGCACTTTGACTCATCAAATTCTCTCAATGTGTAAGCCTAAAAATAGTCATGTGTGATCTTGTTTGATTTGTCTTAACATATAATAGATTATTAATATATAATTTCTATAACTTTTTAATATACAAATTACAAGATAAAATTGATTAAAGACGTGTATTGGATGATGTGTAAAAATGAAAGTGGACAAATACTCTAGGACGGAGGTAGTAATGACTTTCTAAATATATGACCATATGTTTTTATTTCCCAATGTAAAATCATTGGTCATTATCTATTAGCTATTACTCCCTCCGTTCCATAAAGTATTACCCATTTTGACTAAAATTGAAATTAAGGGAAGAATAATTTTGTGTTGACTTTTCAAAAATACCCTTGATGTGATAAGTAAAAGTAGGATGTGATGTGTAGATTATTAGGAGAAAGATATGATGTGATAGGTAGGTTTTGAAAAAGTAAGGGGTAAAAGTGGTTTTTTAATAGAAATGGGTAAGTGATTGTGGGACGCAATTTTTTTGAAACGTGTAAATCTTTTTGGGACGGAGGGAGTATTTTTCAACCAAATATCCGGCATCACTTGAACATTATTCTTCTCACTAGATATTATTAAGTCCTATTTAAGGAATAAAAAAATTTAAGTTCTACATTAAGAAATAACTTATGTTTTAGTCATATTCAGTGCAAATTTCACTTATTAAATTATTAAATACACCCTCCGTCCCCCAGTTTTTGTCCACTTTTGACTTTTGCAACTGTTCATCTAAACAATTTGACTCATCAAATTCTCTCAATATGTAAGCC